GGGAAGAGAAGGGTGGAGATCTTGGGGGGAAAAGGCCTTAGGGGGGAAACGGGGGAAAGGATCTTAAGCGAGAAAGGGGGGAAAAGATCTTAGCAAGGCAAAGGGAGACAAACTCAGGGAAAAGGACTTAGGGAGGAAAGGGGGGGAAAGATCTTTGGGAGGAAAAGGGAGAAGAACTGAGGGTGGGAAAAGGCCTTAGAAGGAAAAGGGGGGAAATAAATGATCTCAACAGGGAGCTGGGGGGGGGGGGAAGATCTTAGGGAGGAAAGGCAGAAGATCTGGGGCAAAAAGGCCTTAGGGGGGAAAGGGGAGAAATGATCTCAACAGGGAAAGGGGTGGAAAAGATCTTAGGGAGGAAAGGGAGAAGATCTGAGGAAAAAAGGCCAACATGGAAAGGGGGGAAAAGATCTTCAGGGGGAGAAACACCTTGGGAGGGAAAGGGGGGAAAGGATCTCAACAGGGAAAGGGTGGGAAAGATCTTAGGGAGGAAAGGGGGGGGGGGGAAGATCTTGGGGAGGAAAGGGAGAAGATCTGGGAGAAAAGGACTTAGGGGGGAAAGCCCAACAGGGAAAGGGGGGAAAAGATTTAGGAAGGAAAAGGGAAGCTCTCAGGGGGGGGGAAAGGCCTTAGGCGGGAAAGGGGGAAAAGGATCTCAGCAGGGAAAGGGGGGGGGGGGAAGATCTTAGGGAGGAAAGGGAGAAGATCTGGGGACAAAGGCCTTAGGGGGGAAAGGGGAGAAATGATCTCAACAGGGAAGGGGTGGAAAAGATCTTAGGGAGGAAAGGGAGAAGATCTGGGGGAAAAAAGGCCAACAGGGAAAGGGGGGAAAGATCTAAGGAAGGAAAAGGGAGAAGCTCTCAGGGGGGGAAAGGCCTTAGGGAAGGAAAGGGGGAAAGGATCTCAACAGGGAAAGGGGGGGAAAGATCTCAGTGAGGAAAGGGAGAAGATCCCAGGCAGGGAAAAGGCCTTAGGGGGGAAAGGGGGAAAGGATCTCAACAGGGAAAGGGGGCAAAGGATCTTAGGGAGGAAAAGGGAGAAGATCTGAAAAGGCCTTAGGGGGAAAAGGGGGAAAGGAGCTCAACAGGGAAAGGTGGGAGAAGATCCTAGGGAGGAAAAGGGAGAAGATCTCGGGGGGAAAGGGGGAAAGGATCTCAACCAAGGGAAAAGATCTTGGGGAGGACAAGGGAGAAGATCTCAGGGGGGGAAAGGCCTTAGGGGGGAAAGGGGGGAAAGGATCTCAACAGGGAAAGGGGGCAAAGGATCTTAGGGAGGAAAAGGGAGAAGATCTTGGGGGGGAAAACGCCTTAGGGGGGAAAGGGCGGGAAAGGATCTCAACAAGGAAAGGGGGGAAAAGATCTTAGGAAGGAAAAGGGGGAAGATCGCGGGGGGAAAAAAGGCCTTAGGGGGGAAAGGAGGGAAAGGATCTCAACAGGGAGAGGGGGGAAAACATCGTAGGGAGGAAAAGGGAAAAACTCAGAGGGAGAAAGGGCCTTAGGGGGGAAAGGGGGAATGGATCTCAACAGGGAAAAATGGCAAAAGATCTTAGGGAGGAAAAGGGAGAAGATCTCAGGGGGGGAAAGGCCTTAGGGGGGAAAGGGGGGAAAGGATCTGAGCAGGGAAAGGGGGGGAAAGATCTTAGGGAGGAAAGGGAGAAGATCTGGGGGCAAAGGCCTTAGGGGGGAAAGGGGAGAAATGATCTCAACAGGGAAAGGGGTGGAAAAGATCTTAGGGAGGAAAGGGAGAAGATCTGGGGGAAAAAAGGCCAACAGGGACAGGGGGGAAAGATCTAAGGAAGGAGAAGCTCTCAAGGGGGGAAAGGCCTCAGGAGGGAAAGGGTGGGAAGGATCTCAACAGGGAAACAATAGGAAGGAAAGGGGGGAAGCAAAAGATCTTAGGGAGGAAAAGGGAGAAGCTCTCAGGGGGGGGAAAGGCCTTCGGGGGGAAAGGGGGAAAAGGATCTCAGCAGGGAAAGGGGGGGGAAAGATCTTAGGGAGGAAAGGGGGAAGATCTGGGGCAAAGGCCTTAGAGGGGAAAGGGGAGAAATGATCTCAACAGGGAAGGGGTGGAAAAGATCTTAGGGAGGAAAGGGAGAAGATCTGGGGGAAACAAGCCCAACAGGGAAAGGGGGGAAAAGATCTTAGGAAGGAAAAGGGAGAAGCTCTCAGCGGGGGGGGAAAGGCCTTGGGAGGGAAAGGGGGAAAGGATCTCAACAGGGAAAGGGTGGGAAAGATCTTAAGGAGGAAAGGGGGGGGGAAGATCTTAGAAACGAAAGAAAGACGATCTGGGAGAAAAGGACTTAGGGGGGAAAGCCTAACAGGGAAAGGGGGGAAAAGATCTTCGGAAGGAAAAGGGAGAAGCTCTCAGGGGGGGGAAAGGCCTTAGGGGGGAAAGGGGGAAAGGGATCTCAGCAGGGAAAGGGGGGAGGAAAGATCTTAGGGAGGAAAGGGAGAAGATCTGGGGACAAAGGCCTTTGAGGGGAAAGGGGAGAAATGATGGAAAAGATCTTAGGGAGGAAAGGGAGAAGATCTGGAAAAAAAAGGCCAACAGGGAAAGGGGGGAAAGATCTAAGGAAGGAAAAGGGAGAAGCTCTCAGGGGGGGAAAGGCCTGAGGGGGGAAAGGGTGGGAAGGATCTCAACAGGGAAAGGGGGGAAACAATCTTAGGAAGGAAAAGGGAGAAGATCTGGAAAGGCCTTAAAGGGAAGGGGGGAAAGGATCTCAACAGGGAAAGGGGGCAAAGGATCTTAAGGAGGAATAGGGAGAAGATCTCAGCGGGGGGACAGGCCGTAGGGGGGAAAGAGGGGAACGGATCTCAACAGGGAAAGGGGGGGAAAGATCTCAGTGAGGAAAGGGAGAAGATCCCAGGCAGGGAAAAGGCCTTAGGGGGGAAAGGGGGCAAGGATCTCAACAGGGAAAGGGGGCAAAGGATCTTCGGGAGGAAAAGGGAGAAGATCTGAAAAGGCCTTAGGGGGAAAAGGGGGAAAGGAGCTCAACAGGGAAAGGTGGGAGAGGATCCTAGGGAGGAAAAGGGAGAAGATCTTGGGGGGAAAGGGGGAAAGGATCTCAACCAAGGGAAAAGATCTTGGGGAGGACAAGGGAGAAGATCTCAGGGGGGGAAAGGCCTTAGGGGGGAAAGAGGGGAAAGGACCTCAACAGGGAAAGGGGGCAAAGGATCTTAGGGAGGAAAAGGGAGAAGATCTTGGGGGGGAAAACGCCTTAGGGGGGAAAGGGCGGGAAAGGATCTCAACAAGGAAAGGGGGGAAAAGATCTTAGGAAGGAAAAGGGGGAAGATCGCGGGGGGAAAAAAGGCCTTAGGGGGGAAAGGAGGGAAAGGATCTCAACAGGGAGAGGGGGGAAAACATCGTAGGGAGGAAAAGGGAAAAACTCAGAGGGAGAAAGGGCCTTAGGGGGGAAAGGGGGAATGGATCTCAACAGGGAAAGGTGGCAAAAGATCTTAGGGAGGAAAAGGGAGAAGATCTCAGGGGGGGAAAGGCCTTAGGGGGGAAAGGGGGGAAAGGATCTGAGCAGGGAAAGGGGGGGAAAGATCTTAGGGAGGAAAGGGAGAAGATCTGGGGGCAAAGGCCGTAGGGGGGAAAGGGGAGAAATGATCTCAACAGGGAAAGGGGTGGAAAAGATCTTAAGGGAGGAAAGGGAGAAGATCTGGGGGAAAAAAGGCCAACAGGGAAAGGGGGGAAAGATCTAAGGAAGGAAAAGGGAGAAGCTCTCAGGGGGGAAAGGCCTGAGGGGGGAAAGGGTGGGAAGGATCTCAACAGGGAAAGGGGGGAAACAATCTTAGGAAGGAAAAGGGAGAAGATCTGGAAAGGCCTTAAAGGGAAGGGGGGAAAGGATCTCAACAGGGAAAGGGGGCAAAGGATCTTAAGGAGGAATAGGGAGAAGATCTCAGCGGGGGGAAAGGCCGTAGGGGGGAAAGGGGGGAAAGGATCTCAACAGGGAAAGAAAGGGGGGAAAGGAAAAGGCCGTAGGGGGGAAAGTGGGGGAACGGGAGGAAAAGGGAGAAGATCTCAGGGGGGAAAAGGCCTTAGGGGGAAAAAGGGGGGAAAGGATCTCAACAGGGAGAGGGGGGAAAACATCTTAGGGAGGAAAAGGGAAAAAATCAGAGGGAGAAAAGGCCTTGGGGCGGAAAGGGGGAATGGATCTCAACAAAGAAAGGGGGGCAAAAATCTCAGAGGGGAAGGGGGCAAGGGGACAATTCCAAAGGGACGCAAATAAGAAAGCAGGCCTGTAATGTCGGCGGCCTGAGCCGGAGGCACTAAAATAAGAGCGTCAGTGGTTCCGGGAGGTCTTTGGGGCGGGTGGTCCGTGGAGTAATCAAGGTTGGTTGCCAAACACCCCGAAGTTGCCCCGCTCATAGGGGAAAAAAAGAGGTTGCTTGCACAATCTCGCTGTCAGCAGATCACTGCGAAACGCTTAACTTTGTGGGTTAAATGGAAACCCAACCCCTAAAACAACGAAAAACACCAGAACGCCCAAGCTTCACTTTTCTCGGGTGAAATGGAAACCCGGATCGAACCAACTAAAAAGCGAAAAACACAACACCTATGCAAGAGGACACCGAAGGAAATGGACGGCTGGATGCTTCGCTGGAGAGGTCTGCCTCAAGTCCCCTGCTTCCCCAACAGCAAGACCTACCGGACTGGGTCCGTGGATTTCCAGATCAGCTTCCCTCAAGGGTGGTTTTGGATTGGTGGCGGTTCAGGGGGTTGTCTTGTACCCTCTAAGCCAGGGGTGCAAGTCCCCAACCAATCCAAACCACCAAAGGGTTACCTGACTTGACTCTAGAGGGAGAAGCCGCCCCAAAAACCAAAGTTGCAAAGAAAACACTGGAGGTCTGGGTTATCGAACCCTTTGGAGAAAGCCTTTTGGGGCACAACAACTTTCTCTGGGCCTTTTGGGGCGCCCGTGGACACCGACTAATGGTAATGGCTGGACACTGGCCATTGAAACGCCCGGACGGGCGGATTTGTTTCTTGCGCCAGGGCGCCTTGGTAGCCACTTCAGGGCGCTAAGCGAGGGGCCCACCATGATCATGTACCTCCCAGCAAGAGGCGAGGCGAGGCTCGAAAACCCCCCCGGCTTTGTGTATCTTATAGAAATCGGAATCCAGAAGGGCGGGTTTTCTTTATCATGGTATGTCTAACTACCCCCTAGCCAACTAACCCCCCCCCTCCAAAGGCAATATATGAATGGGGCTCAAATAAGACCCACTGGGTATCTCCTTTGGACCAACTCCACAAAGGGCTCCGTCCAATCTATATATGTGCAAAGTAGACCAAATGCGAAGCGCCCGAGTTGGGACACGCTATGAAATGGTTGGGGGAGTTCCATCATACTTTCCTGGGGGCCAAAGGGAAGTGAAAAGGGGATTGCGATGTGTCAATTTTTGTTTCCCAATGGAAAACCAAAAGGGGATAGTGACCTTCTTGTTTTCTGACACCGTTCTGGGAATTGCAGGGAAACCAACGGAGATGGTGCTTTTCAATTGTCTCAGACCCCAAAATAACCCTTGGGGTCAACAAATGCACTGTAGTTGTGCAACACATGGCCCTTGGAACCTTGGGATACTGAGGACCGCAATCCGCGATCGGGCGATAGATGCAACTCTTGGAGGTGCCGATCAGCGTGGATGTTGTCCATCGGTCCCCTTTTCATGGGCCATGCCCACGAGCTTACTGAGGGACTTCCCTGAGTCAATATGAAAACTTGATCTCAAAATGGTCGCACCAAAGCCAGGCTCAAGACATGATTGACAAGAGCGGATGTCTGCGCCCTGGATCGCGGGTTTGGAGGACGTGGCTCTGGGCTTTTGTGCGACAGGAGAACCTCCCATCTGGCTGAGTGCGAACAATCCAGGCAAGCGCCCGCTGAAAAGGGAAGTGAAAACCCGAAAGGGTTTGTGTTTCTTGGAGGGCACCATCTAAAGCCGATCATTTTGGATCTTGGGGTCCAAAATCCCTATTTTGACACATACCAAACTGGGCAAACCGGGCAAAACCACCAAAAAAAAAAAACGCGAGCCGACCGGTTCCGGCGAAAATGGTTGCCGAGCCTCTGGCCAGTCAAAACGCCGGAACCCGACGGCTGCCAACTTGATTTTGACTAACCCAAGGTGATTACACCCAGGGGGCTTACTGTCCCCAGAAGGGAAAACTCCTGAGTTTTAGTCTTCTCAATTTACACAGAAAATAATATTATCTTCCCGCGTTCCATGTTTAGTCACCCTATATGAAGTTGTTTTGGGGACCGCAGTTTCGGGTTGCGCAAAGGCTATATGTGTCTTTCCAACAACCCGGTTGCAACCAATGACTTCTCCGACAGAAAAAATAAAAATAAAAAAATCGGAGCCCTTGGTGGGCTTGATTCCATCAGATGGTGGGGCCCGAACGCGGCAAAAAACAAAAACGGATGTGGAGGGTGACATCCACGGAAGATCTGAAACTTTGAGTGGGGTATGTCACAAATCTCTCAGAACGATCTAAAAGTCTGTAGAAAAGTGTAAGGTTATTATCTTGGCCCGCAAAAAATGGAGTACACAGAAAGATTATGATTCCTGATTCGGTTCCATATTCTGTCTACCCTGTACAAATTCGTGTTGGAGACCCGAGGGCAGGGAACCCCTAAGTCGAGATCGAATTCGGCCAAGGCGCACAAGCAGTAGCGGCACAGGAAGAACCACCGAGAGGATGCAGAGGAGGATCAAGAAGACCTGTGGACCGATCTAGTTACATTGGTAACTATCCAAGAAACCAGGAAACTAGCCAACTACCCGGATACCCCCCCCACCCCACCCCACCCCCCCACCCGCGTAACTCAGTGTAACTGCAGGGTCGCCAACCATTTGGGGCCACCATTTTGGGGGTCCCTAAAAAGAGACACACCCAAACCCAGCTACAGGAAATCCTTGTTGTTGGTGGGTGTTTGGTGTGGTGCTTCAGTTTGTGTATGCTGTTTAACCCGTGTCATCCATCCAGGTAAACAGCATAATCACCAGCACATGCCTTTTGTAACAAAAAGGTTCTTGCTTGTTTTACTCGTAGCATTCGACCTTTGTATCTCAACTCCCTGTACTCGCGTGAGGGCTGACTGAAGGAAACCAAGAAGTTGAAAGCCTGACCCAATTTTGATGCTTCCATTGACCTATATCGTCTCCGCTGGTAACTTGGATACGCTCAGTCCTCACCCGAAATGAACATACCCCCAACTCTGAGCAAATGCCTTTGAGCATAGGTCCTCTGGGGAAAAAACAAACAAACAAATAGTCAAGTAGTGATGGATTCCCCTTAAAACCAGCATGGGGAAAATAAGCAATATTCTTAAGCAAATGCAAGGTTTGCAAATTTGTTTGTGAGGGTAGCATGGCTGGAGTACCCTATAAATCCCGATGTCAGCTGATTTTGGTAGATCATGGATTCATCCCGACTCAACGGATAGTACAGCCCCTGGACAAGCCTAGGACAAGGCAAGGATATGGCTTCCTTAAGAAGCCTTGGTAGTGTAGCCCCCACCAAGCAACAATCCAAAACTTGGTGAAGCTGAGGGTTAAATAGGTGATCCGGGACTATCCCTTGCTAACCTTCATCTACCCGGGTTCTGATTGTGGCCCATGGGTATCATTTTAGAGTAGCTCGAGGTGCTGGTAAGGCGTCTTCTGCAACTTCTTCGCATGTCCATTCGACACCCCGATGCGCTAAGGGTGAATGTCGGTGCCCGATTTCTCAAAGGGCGCCAAATGCAAGAAAAAGCTGCTCCGCAATTCTTCAGGTCTCCAAGATGAAAAGGGGTACCAACTGCATGTGTTTTGCTCTCAACAGTTCCAAACGCGGTGATGTTGCCAACGCTTTGTCATCCCCGGTCTTCGCCCAGCCCCAGCGACACCCCAAAACCACACCACCACCACCACCACCACCACCACCACCACCACCACCACCACCACTGGTGGTGGCTACGAGCGAGTCAAGTCGAAACCATGCCCATGCCCCAAACCGCCGATTTGCTTACATATCCTTTGTGTAGAAGATTGTAGAAGTGCCCATGCCCCCCAAATCCCCAATAGTGGAAATGGAAAAGGGGTATACCATGGTGTCACCGTTCCCCGGCCCAACACCTCTTTCTTCTGAGTACTCAGAATTTCAGAAAATATCTGCAAACCATACCCATGCCCCAAACTGCTGATTTCCTTACATATCCTTTATTTAGAAGTGCAAGGGGGTAGTACATGCCTACCCCACACAAATCCCCAATAGAGGAAACGAAAAAGGGATACCCTATTGTGCAAACTTTTTCCAGGCCGCAAACCAAAAACTACTAAACCAATACAAACCAATGCTAAGCTAGCACAAGGGCAACGCCAGTACAAGGGCAAGGCCAGTACTAGGCAAAGCCAGTGCCTGAACCAATACCAAACTAATACTAACCAATACTAAGCCAGTACTAAACTTGGGAAAGGCCGATCTGACCCCCAAAATGGTGTTGGAGGGGGGGGGGGGGACATTTGTTGAGACCCGCACATAGGGAATGGTCACAACCCCAACCTCACCCAGGCGGCCGTCGACCATCCAACTTTTGGCTTTTTCGGGTACCTTCCAAAAACTTCGGGGGGGGGGGAGACTTTGAACTTAAACCTTTAATTAACAAAGAAGACAAAAATCAAAGACTAGAATTAACTCACTTTTGTTGTGCTAATGATAGAAATCAGTAGGTAATGCGTCTTCCGTGAATCTGCTTGGAATCTCTTGAGAACGCTTGAAATGCAACCTGGGCCACGCTCCGCGGACCCAGTCGCACCTGAGTGGACTTCATGATGTGCCACACCCATGGCACTTTGTGCCACCACCACGGCACTTTCTGTTGCTCCTCCAGATCCTCAGTCGTGCCGCGAAAAACCAAAGGCCAGCTTCTGGCCCCACTTCTGAATGGAAACCCCGGATTGCTAACCCCTGGTCGACTCATAGTGTGCCCTTTTGGCGCGCATGAGGCTTTGCTGACCGCCTCAAAGCCCGGAGGTTCACAAGTCTGAAACTTGGCCATGGGGCAAAATCCCAAGACCGTACCCTCAGTGAAGATTCCAATCCAACCACTAAAATAGGTTCTAAAATGGGTACTTCTCTCAAGAGGTGCATTGATCAATCACGCTTCCCATGACCTTGGCCAACGTGCAGCCACAGACCTAGGGCAGAATGATTTAATGTGATCCACCAAACTTTGACCATTCCAAGCCGGAATTTAGTGCGTGCGTACACCTACCCCAAAATGGTACCATTGGTTTGACCCACAGCCATATCAACCTTCATAACCACGACGGTGGAGCCAACAGCGGACCACAACCCTGCGCATTTAGCCTATTTTGACAACCCCCAAGGGCGAACTTGCAGCTTAGGACAGTCTTCGGGCGGGCAAGAAGACGCTTGCCCTCCCAAATTCCAACCCCGGAGCTGTGTACAGTTGCAACCAGCGCCACGTTCGGTGGAAAGGATGACCATCTTTAGTGGGACCCACCAAGCAACAAGGGAAAAGGCGGTCGCTGATTTGGGTGGGAACCCTTGTCGGGCTGTTTTTCGTGGCAAACAAAGGGAAAAAGACCGGGCCCCCTATTTCAAGACACGCCCATAGGCTGAACCTCCTTTGGGATGTTGTTTTCAAGAAAGACCAACAGGACACCAGCGGTCCTTTCAGTTTGGTTGATACATCCAATTTGCAGCTCCTATAGGATGGACAAAATCACCTGCCCTGGGCACCTTGGGACCTAAGTCGTAATTTTGAGGACCCAAACCTTTCAATGGAAGTCTTGATTTCTTCAAAGGAGGGTCCAATGATGCTTAGGGTGTTACCCAAAGAGGGCACGGGCAAATGGAGTGGGCAGCCTCTGGTAACCTCTGGTTTTTGTGGTTGAACTTGGGCTCGGGCTTGACCCGTGTGTAATGATTCCACTATATGAAAGTGGCTCAAAATTAAACAGGAGGGATACACAAGTTTTGGTCCATGTTTCCACTTACCGGGGTTCCATTTTGGTGCCGTTTTTTGAGCCACAGCCATATGGCACCGCGTGCTTTTGCTTTGTTGGGAGTAGCGGATTGGGAGGTTAATGGAAACCATCTTGAACTGGGCTGCTGGGCTGCTCTTTCCGTGAGCAAGAGGTCTAACCTGTTGTTAGTGTCATGGAAAGCCACTTGTCTCCAAAGGGTCTGAAGTCCTCCTTGCGCTCTGCACGCACCTCGGAAGTGCACCTACAGACGATGCCCCGAGAAAGCTCACATGAAGAGAGCTGTCCTTTTTGAACATGAATGCCATCCCCGCAGGCACTCTAGGGGGCCTTTGGGGTCTTCCCTGTACATTCCCTCTACTCCTCTAAACCCCTCCAAAGCTCCTCGAGTGCCCTTGTCGCGCCTGAATTTAGTTGTCGTTATGATTTTATGTTCCTCCTCTATAAGTGCCCTTCTCGTGCCTAAATTTAGTCCTCGTTGTGGTTTTCTGTTCGCTGTTTCTTTGCTTTCCTTGCGCGGTTCAGCCCTCGTCGATTTTTGTCGGTCGCACAGCCGAAGCCGGTCGAGGCGCCGCGGTGCCGTAGACCAAATTCCGGAGCGCAGCCAGCTGCATGCGGGCACGACAGATGCCCCCGGCGCCCATGTTGGACAACTTGCCTCGGGTTTCGGGTGGGCTTGGCAGAAAATAGGGGACACCAACAATACAATTTACCCTCCCACCAACTTACATGGAAGTGCAAAAATGCACTTTCCAAGAGGAAGGTAGTCTTTCCACAGGGGTCTGTGCACTTCCATGTTAGCTGGTGGGAGGGTAAACCGACCCCAAAAAGGGGACCCACCAAAAACGAGAGACCCGCGTGTCTGAGAAGGTTTAATCAACGGGTACTATAGCGCCAGCATTAGCCACTATGTAAAGGGTGTATATATATATATATATATATGTACATTAACACATGGATATGTATATACACAGCCTTGAATCTTGGTTTAATCTTGGTGTACCACAGTTGGTCAACAAATTACACGTCTCCCCTAAAGGACGCGGACGAATGTGGGCTACCGTTCTTTTCAAACCGAGGGCGGAAGCCAAAGGAGCCGGGTCTCTCCTGTTTTGGACCCCAAAATGGTGGTGTTCCTTTTGGCTTTCCTTGAAACCCACACAAAAAGGGACTGTACCCGTCTCTACCCTGTGTTTGGGCTTTCCTTGGTTCAACTTCCCTACCTGGCAATACGGAAGCTCGGCCATGGAACTATGAACATTGCGCCCACACCTCTCCTGTTTGAAAACTAATCAGCACGTGTTTATCTGATCCTGACGTAATTTGGTCTTCAACCCACCCCAAAGTGTCCAAGGGCCCCGAAAGGAAATGTCTTCTTGGAAAGAAATGCTTCCATGGGGATGAAGTCTTCCAGCAGGGAGGCCAAGTTTGGCCGGCTCTTCAGCAGCTCGGACGTCTATGAACCTTGTTCTTCTGGCTTAACAAAGGCTTGCTGGGTGTACCTCTTGTTTGTGAAGATTAAGGGGCCTGAACTCATGGACTGTGATACCAAAGCGACGGGCTCCCATCCAACCATGGCTACTTTGTTCATGACAAACATGGCCAGTAGAATCACTGCCTGTGGAAAATCTTCAGCTTTCTGTGATACCCATCCCCATGTGGTTTTGTTCTGGGGCTGCCCGTAGCCCACAGTGAATTGTCTAGAACCCCATGTCCGCAACACAAATTCCCAATTGAACGACCACAGTGAAGAAGTCTCCTGAGGGTAATGATGACCCCATGAATCAACCCATGTTTATAAATAGGTGCGTGGGGGCCCCTCCAAAAGTGGTCAGATTTCCCACATTTCACCCAGGGAGAACCCCTGGGGTTGATTGGTCTGGGGTCAATACCCTTTACAGGCATGTGGCTATGCGATGGTACACCATGTTCCGCGGAGGTACTGGTTTGGGGCTAGTGGAATGGTTCACCATCCAGTTATTTGAGGGTTGGTTTCAAGGGAAGCCCCTATTGGCGTTAACCATTATTGTAGGGGTACCTTCCCCATTCTTTCCAGGGATCCTTCTTTCTAGAAAACCTCCGGAAACCCAGGAAGAAATAGCTGGTTTTTGAAAAGAACGATGGCTGGAAAGAATGAAAAAGGAATCAACCCCCCGATTTTACGCCCCCCAGGCAAAGGCCCTTGGGCACCTGAGGTCAACGCTGCCGGGAACTTTCAAGACGAACAGGCAAGCAAGCAAGCGAACAGACAACGAACAAGCAAACAAACAAAGGAACGAACGGACACAAACACACACACCAAGAAATAAATAAACTCTAGCTAACACACACACACACATACCCAAGTGGCGTGCACGAAAGCATCGATTAAATTCTTGGAGATTCGGTACGGGCAGCCGGGTGCCTCGTCAACCCATGACTGTTTGAAAGATGGGAAGCAGCCAAAAGAGGTGTGGGCCAGTTATTCGCGCGGAAACCATCACGACATCAACATAATAATTGACTCTGAAGGAAAATTATTGGAGGTCTAAGCCCTGGGTTCTAACCCCTACGGTACAAAACCGTGGGCTGCTAAGAAGCACCCAGAAAAGAGGGAAACACAGTTGGTGACCGAAAAATTGTAGCTTTGCACCCCAGTGAAAACGACCGCAAACAACGGGGCACCATTTCGGCGGTCAACATAGCGCGTGTTTTCTTCGAGCCTCGGCCAAGTTGCCCAAGGCCCAGCCAAGGTCCAAGCCCAGCACGCGGACCCACTGCTCCTTTCGAGATCACTTTGGGTGAGCCACTTGGGTGGACGTCGATTTTTGCGGCAATCGGACCGCCCCAAAATGGTGGTGTTACCTCTGGTTTCCCTCAAAAGCCAGCAACAAAAAGGGGTACCCTCAACAAAAAGACACTCACTGAAGGAACCTCATGGTAAAATTGGTGATGGCTGAAAGCCACCTTTCAACTTGGCCGACATCTCGGGTACCCAGCAAATAATATGTTCGGACTCTGTCTCATGTTTAGTCTACCCTAGATCCAATAGGTGCCAGCCTGTCGACGTTAGTCAGAAATTTGGCGACACCTCCAACCCCTTCGCATCCGTTGGACTAGTGTGGGGTGCTGGCATTCATCCGAGGTAGCAAATGCCAACCGCTTTGCTGATGCTCTTTCTGATGCTCGTGCTTCCACACGTTGATCTCGGTAAACATGCCCATGTTGGATTGCGGGTCCCTGGAGCTCTTGCCGCGCCGAGCTCTTTGCTAAAGCTTTGGTGGCCCATTTTCCGGCCGGGAATCGGCTCCCTTTTACCTGGGACCCAGGGACCACACACGAGTGGCACAAAGGCAGACACAGGCCCGAGGAAGGCGGAGACCAAGTTCCAAGGGTCTAAAGTAGAATAGGTGTGCGGGTTAAAACCAAGCTCACTCGTGGGAGTAAACCCTTCGAACATATTTCTCCCCGTACATCACCAGGAGAATTCGTTTTGCTGGATATGATCAAACAAAGGTGTGGGGGGGATTGTTCCAGTTGCTTGTTTCGTGGGGTCCGTTTTTTGTCAGTTGTTTTCGAGAGAAAGCAGCGGATCATCTTCATACCTGGCCCAACTCTGGGTACACCAGAAAATAAATGACATCTTCAGATTCAGCTTGATATGGGCATGAATGTCAATTAGGGACCCTTTGGTGAACAAACTTTTCGCTGGGGATTTATGTCCACCAACCACGTTTCAGGGGGTTCCCCATTGAAAATTCATAGCCATAGTGCGTCTACTTCAACATATTTCGAAATTTTGCTTCAGAGGACTCCGCCGCCGCCCCATAGACAAAACCATCCATTTTTTCGCACCGGGAGACGCCAAGGCAAACCTCTGACACGAAATCAAATACCTCAGCTACCAGACCAGTCCATTCCCACAACGAAAGGAGCGCCCCTCTTTCGTTTGAAGGGACCCCTCCAAAAAAGAAACCATGAAAGACAGCTACAAACACGGATGGGTGCCACGAAGGAAGCAAGGCTTGAACACTGATTCAACTACACCATCCTCTGATTTAACCCTATTTGACTATGGGTCAAAACCCCGTACCCCCAGTGAACATCCCAATCCCCACTAAAATACCTAAAATGGGTGGTGCACCTACCAACCAAAATGGTACCATTGGTGTTGAGCCACGGCCATTTCCTACTGCTCGGGATCAGGGATCACCAAAGAGGAGGTCCGGCCCAACTTCCAGTTGGAGCCGCTGGGGCCGAGCCCCTGGTCCAATGCAAGCCGCACCCTGGAAACAGCCCACGCGGACAGCTCAGAAGCCTTTAAGAAGTAACCGAGTGCTGGAGGAGCGCTTTGACAGGGGAGCCGCTAGAAGGAAACTCATGGCCAAATTGGCAAAAGCGCGATCTTTGAAACCACCCTTCAAGTTGGCCCACGGAAAAGGGTACCCAGAAAATGAACATTGTCTGACTCTCTTCATATTTGACCTACCTTGCAGAAGAAAAAAACAAACAAAAAAAACGGGGGACCAAATCTCGGGAGCTCTGAACGCATGGGATCGGCCTGAACCTCACCTTTCACCTAGGCTGGAATTAGGACCCCAGCATTTTTCTTATTTTTGTTTGCCTGGTTAGTGGAAAACAAAGGGACCCCACCAAAGCGAAAAAACCAAAGGGGAGCTAATTCTGGGGAAGTCGGCTTTCAGCTTTCGGCTCGGCGTCCTCCGGTGGGCACAGGTCATAGAGCCCGTGCCGCAAGACTTCGGTATCGATGACCTCAGATCGAAAACGCTCTGTCACGCGCCAGACCTGACGGTCTGCGTCTGCGTCTCTGCGTCTGTGTCTCTGTGTGTGTGTGCGTGAATCTGTGTCTGTGTGTGTACGTGCGATTGTTTGTTGGAGTTGACGCCCATTTTGAATAATTCTGCGCGGTAGCTTTCAAGTTAAACCACCATTTTTGGGGGTCCCCTTATTTTGACACATACCCATATGCGCCATGGTCAAAAAATCCTTGTGTCCTACAGTGACATTGGAGGTTGGTGGGTTGCCCTGCCCCCCTTTTCGAATGGCTCATGTCTTTTCTCCAGTGGTCTCCTTGTGATTTCTCCTCAACGGGGGACAATTTAAAAAACATATTGCAAGTGAATCAACCACAAACCAATGGGACATGTTCGTGGGGCCTCCCTTGTTCCCTTGCAATACCTACCATCACCATTATCGTTACCATTGCTACTACTGTTAATTTCGTCCACCACAAGACAAACCCTCCAAATGGAGGGAACCCGCGCATGGTCGATGAACTTGTTTTTGCAGTGGAAAGGAACAAACAATTTGGTACTGGTTCCAGTACTATGACTTATACTTTGCCCAGTACTATCACTATTTACTCATTATTATTGCGACTGTTACTATCACTATTGTCATTATATATATATATATACATATATACGTATTATGAGTCATACATATACTATATGTATGACCATATACATATACCCTAAAACAGTTGGCAGTAGCGGGCAACTCACCTCCAACCCCGTCCTCCTCTTGGGGGGAGTCCTCGTCGAATCGGTTTCGCTTAAATCGAGGGGCGTAGTCCCAGCAGATCATCCGCCCCACAAAGGCGAAGGGCCCTAAGCCCTGCAGGAACATCTGCCGGTCCTGCACTGTCATTCAGTTTTTCTCTTCGGAAACGCGAACCCATTGGATCCCAGTTACCACTATAGTAGGAACCATGTTCCTTTGATTGTTAAAGCCTGGCAAGCCCTTCTAGGTCCTCCAGATTTGAGAGATTAGAATAAGTTGGTATACCCGATTTTCTTTCTGTCTAGTTTAGTAGGCGCACCCAAAACCCAAAGACAAAGTCAGAAAGGGCACTACTGGGACCTAGATGTGTTGAGTTTGGTTGGGGCTTGGGAAGGGTTGGGTGGGGTTCGGGGGGTTGGCTTTTTTGGGCAGTTTTTGAGGGGTTGGGGGTGTGGGGGGGGGGGGGCGAGGGTTGGTGGGCAGCGGCTTTGCATCGTATGGTTGGCTGCTCGAACAAAATGTGTCAAGTTTAGCGCCTAGTCTCAGGCCACCTCTAGAGCACACCAAAAAACATATGTTCAGAGTGTGGAGTACACCAAGGCTCAAATACTCAGAGTACCTGCAAAAAATCTACACCAAAGCTCAAATACTCAGAGTACCTGCAATTTTTGTTACCTGCCAAAATCGAAAACAACTTTGGAGAGAGAGCCCAGGCTTCTTTCTTTGCAGCGCCAGCCCAACAGGCTCCCGAAACTCCTCCCGGAACTTCTGGTTCAGCTCATCGGCCACCTGCTGGAGCAACAGCTCCTGAACTCGGTTGCAACGACCCCTGCGAAAAGTGTTCAACTTTCTGGGGGTTTAGTGGAAAACGTCTAAAGAAGTTAACGTCTAAGTTTAGTGGTTTATTTTAGTGGAAAATTCAACTATTTTGGGGGTTTAGTGGAAAACACACCTTTATTTCAACCAAGAAGTTCACAAGTCTAAAGATCCGTTGCACAACCGCAGTGAAGTGAAGACCGCGGAGCTGTGCCGCGGGTCAAAAAGGAATCCAAAAGCGAGCAGACTCATCCAAACATACTCGGTTGCGTTCTGCTCTCCTGCTAAACGTTTCACTCGAAACAGAACGACTCCCCTCAAAGGGTTAATGCCTTCTCCATTCTTGGTTGAAGCTACCCCTTTTGTGGCTTAAAAAGCAAGCATTCTAGAAGTTGATTCCTAAAAACCATCCAACTGGCGGTTTCCTTTTGAGGGAATCCCAACGGTTCATTCAACCATATTCCCTACCAATCGCACCAGCAAGTGTTCTGAGGGTTGATTCCTTTTCCATTCTTTCCAACCATCGTCCTTTCGAAAACCGGATCCGTTTCCCTGGTTTTCCGGAGGTTTTCTAGAAGGATGCCTGGAAAGAATGGGAAGGGTAGAACTAGAACCATCAAAAAGACACGTCCCGGTTGCTTAGAACTGACATGTTTTGTCGGACCTGGGGGTGGTCATTCGAAAAAGACGCGCCACTCATATTCCTACATAAACTATGTCCCAGTGCTTCCAGTTGCCAGAAACCTAGAGGTAGCCATACCGACGAAACAAAAAATCCTACAGTGGCTTCCTAATGGGTTAAGCAAATGGTTCCCTTTGACACACATTGGAGGCATATCAATATGAAGCAAATGGAAATGGACCCGGACGTCTCTCTCCTCAGACCATTCATTTCTTTCTTAAGCCACAATTGGGTATGGGTCGAACTAAGTTACCAGGGAACCGCAGGTTTTAGTCCTCGTTTCCATTTACCAGGGTTCATTTTGGGTACTTCTATTCCCCACCGAATTAATCTGGATTCCCAATAGAACCACCAGGGGAAAACAACCAGTGGTAGCTTCCCTTTAAACCAACAAGTCCAGGGGTAACCCCAAAGTCATAGAGTTTTTTTTTTGAAACGCGAACCCCTTTGATTTTTAAAGCCTGGCAAGCCCTTCTAGGTCCTCCAGATTTGAGAGGTTGGAATAAGGGTAGCCTTTTTTCTGTCGTCTGTTTTAGTAGGGGAACCCCAAAGAAGGGTAAAAGGGCACCACTGGCGGACCTAGCCTTGGTTACCTGCCTGTACCAGGCAAATTGATTTGTCTTTTGTTGTGGTTTCCCTTTTAAACCACAACGGCAGGGGGTACCGAGCCTGCAGCAAGGGCACTCGGCCAATTGGTTTGGCAACTCTGGTTTGGTTTCCTCTCGGCGTCCTTGAAAAATAAACATTAAAAAACGCCCCCCCCTCCCCAAATTTGTGTAGCCCCAAATGAACCCCAAAAACACGCAAAAAAAAAGAGCCCCCCCCCCCTCCCCAAATTTGGGTAACCCCTAATTACAACCCCAAAAACAAACAAAAAACAACCACCCCCAAAAACACAATCAGAAACCAAGCACCCCCAGAGGTATGGGACATCACCGAGCAAGTGGAAGCGACTGAAGGTCTCAGCCCGAGTCGCTGAGAAGCCCATGGACCTCGCGGCATCTGAGGCCCCAAAGTTCCGCCACAGGCCCTGCCTTGCCCGAGCCAGCGGTGTATGGAGCAGTGGTCCGGGGGGGGGGGGGGAAGACCGCGTCAGCCCAAAGAACACGGGCGGAAAGGGGGTTGCCCCATTTTTGTGGGGGCTGCAGGGGGTTACCCCAATTTGGCAAGCATTTCTTGGAGTTGCTCTATGTGGGTGTGAATTTGAATTCGGGACCCTTTGGTGGACATCAGAAGTCGGTGGGGGGGTTACTTCCAACCACTTTTGAGGTAAAAATCACAGCCAAACAAGCTGATAAAGCAAGGCGTGTCGTATTCACTTGGGCAGCCCGGAGCCAAAAGGAAACCTCTGACAACGCGGAGCTTCCAACTGGGTCCCCGACCCGACGATTGCCCCCCAAAACTTTGGGACTCGCGCTGACGATCCACCCTGGTCCCCCTTTGGCTCCCCTTTGGCTGCTTGGAATTCACGAAAAAGTTTGAGTCTGAGGGGGGGGGGGGGGATTCCTGTGGATGTCCGCGGATCAAAATTCAAGCTTCATGGTACGGGTGGACAGGGTCGAGCATCTGATGTCCATTTGCAGTCCGGGTTTCTCTTCCAAAGATGGGATTCTAACCCAACCATTCCAAACGGCACCCCACCCCCCCTTTTCCCAGGCGCCATATTCATGGTCTTTTCGAAGTCTTCTGAATGACTTTTCGTCCCAACCCAAGGAGTTCTCATCTTGAGCGAGTCTCCGAGTGGCTTCCCTTGCGTGTCAACCCTCTGCCTGACTTATCAGGTAGACACAAGTCATACTTTCATTTGGCGGTGGGTCAAAAGAAAGTGGTCAATTAATTAACCCCCAACAAGGGTTGCCCTGGTAAATGGAAGCATGGACTAAAACCTGCGGGCCTGTTGGTTGAACATTTCGACCCATACCCAGTTGGGAAAACGGGTGTGATCGACTCCCCGAACCGGGCCCTCCCATTCAGCAAGCGGTCAAGAATGCCTAGCTGCAAACCAACCCCCCGCCCCCCGGGCTTAGAGGATGCTCCTTTTGAAGGATGCCGTGTTGGGTTCCCTATCACCTTGCATGGGTGCTCGGCTGCCAACTTTTACACGGAAAAAGAAGAAAACAACCAGATCTGAGGAAAGAGTCAACTTGCAGAGTACTAAGTTGCAGCTTCTACAACTAGGTCCTCCAGTAGAGAGGTTAGAATCAGGGTACCAACTTTTTTCTGCAGTCTATTTTAGTAGGGGTACCCTCCCCCAAAAAGGGGTGAGAAGGGGCACTACTGGGGGAGACCAAAAAATCAAGCAAAGGACCCAAACATCACTGGCTTTCGCTCGGTCAGTTTACGCGGTGGAACTGCTTGACTTGGCCCACGGAGCACACGGAGAGCAAGCTGTTCTGACTCTGTTCCAGTGGTTGCCCGTTTCGAAGCACCTAAGAAACCCTGGTTTCTGATTCGATTTCCCTGTAAAGGTCGCAAAGTGGGGCAGGATTTCGTCAATGCCAACAACAATGGTTGCGCCCTGGTTTCAAAGTGGTGCAAACTGTTGTCCATCCGCAGTCTTTAGTCCACTCGAAGATATAACATCGATTTGGTGGAGACCCCCCAACTTGCAGGGGGACTACTGGGTAAAATGAAAGCGACATCCTCAACAGATTCTCTAAATGGTTTCAAGGGAAACTGCAACTGTCTCAGTGTAAATCTTACCCTCCCTCCCTCATGGAAGCTGACGGGAGTGTTTTGGAAGACGAAAGCCTTCCTTTTGGCGAAGCCCCACGTCCACTTCCAGTGTTAAGAGGCTCACCCCGACATTGCTTCAACCCCAAAGTTGCTGTCCCCAGTAATCCTCATAATCAAACCCCGGTATACATGCTTCAAGAATGACGAAGGCGGATATCCGCAGCTATTTATTATAGGTTGAAAGTCTCCCTCACTAACCTTCATCTACCCGGGTTTTCTCAGTTGCTTTCTGCTCCCCTGCTTTAATTGTTTAACTTCTACTAGTTTAATTCGGAAAAAAAAAAAAAAAAAAAAAAAACTCCGCTGGCAAAAAAACAATCTGATGGAAAGTCCCAACCTCCCTTGGCAACATACGTGCCTCAGTTTTGAGCACGCTCAGTTTCGGAGGCCCTCCACTCCCTCGAAGCGCAAAGAACCGGGCGAGCCGCAGGAACTTCAGGGCGTCCTTGCGGTCCACGTCGTAGGCGGTGGCGAAGTAGTGGGCCCCTTGGAGAAGAGCGCTCGGGTATGGGTGTGGGCGCCTGTTGTTGGGCGCATCCTTTTTGGGGGTGAGTTGAAAGGGAAACCAAAAGGAGACCCGAAATCCCATGGGTCCAAGACAAGACGCGCCCATATCCTCCGTTTGCTGAAGTGCCCTGGACAAAGAAACACATATTGCCAGTGGTGCCACTCAAGCAAATCGTTGATGAATTGCCAGCATCTTGGGAACCTCAAAAGCCACGGTTGGCCCAAAACTATCCGAAGGTTCACTTAGGCCACCTGTGTCCCGTCGACTCAACAGGCCGAAAACGAAAAGGACCCTCGTGTCACAGGGAAAGCGTGGAGGGGCAAACAAAGACGCTTGATTGGCTTTGGACGGTTTGGATGGTTCCGGATGACTTGTTTTGGGCTGGGAAAACAAATTGGACATGGCAATTTGCGCAGTTGGCAATTCATTCTCGTTGCGAATTGTGACCGCACAAAAAATAAGTACTTTCTGGGATTGATCCCAAATCCGGCGGTACATCCCCATTCAACCCCTGGGGTGTGTCTTTGGATATGGTCAGATCCGTCTCCAAAGCTTGGAGAAAGCGTGGGCAACGGGTGGGCACCCATGAAATGCCGATGCACAGCAACTAAGAGGGGAGGGGGGGGGGACGGGAACTCTCTTCCTAGGCGCCCGGTGAAAAGGGAACCCTTGCCCGCACAATTGGAAAAAAGGGCACAGGCGGATCAATATTCCCGAGGCCCAACAATGACCATGGAGAACTTGTGCGACGTGGTTGAAATATCATCTGTTTAGTGGTTTTCCAACCAGTGGTCATCCCATGTAAAGGACTTAAAGGACTTTTTGATCAACCCCCACGTGGACTCCCAGGTATTCTAACAAAGAGTGAGCTCATGCTACCAACCCGAACTGAGCTCGGAACCCGAGTAAATGATGGCAAGCGCCGGCGCCTTCGCTTTACCCCATGACTTCTGATAGAAAAATAAACTCGACAAACGACAACCCACACCAACAAGAGCCAAAAAGGCGATGCTTACTTAAAGCCACGGAAGAAAGGAAACAGTGTAGATCTTTCAATGTAGAAAAGTCAATTGTGAGGTTCCCAGAAAGGTTAACTGCCGAAGGTTCAAACAGTAAGTTGCGTTGTTCCGTGGTTGAAATGGGGTTCCCGTTAAACCACGTGGAAAAAAGGTATCCTCAAAAAAAAACACCCATGTAGAATCACCTGTTGGCTCATTCCTAGGCTCGTCTCCGAGACTCGAATATTTTTAAGGGTAGATGACATAAGGACCGAGCAACAAAAATACCTGATTCGGGGGGATTGTTGTCCCTAAAAAAAACTGTCAGCCTAAAACCAAACGGGATATGCCTCACTCCTGAGACATGGGTGTGCGAAGGCTACCCTTGTGTTGCATGGAGTTGGCTTTAGGGGGAACCAATCAAAACAACACCATTTTAGGGGGACATCCCTTGAAAAAAGCAAAAAAAAAAACATCCAACACCCATTTTTGCACTTGGTTTTGGGGGAACCCAAAAGGGACCCCCCCCAGCTTTTTCTTGGGCGCGCCCCGCCTGCCAAGACTTGCGGGGGCCCCGCGCTGTAGGCCTCCGCGGGCAGCGACAAGCAGCTGCCACGAAGAGCGGCGCCGCGAAGAGCAGCGCCGAGGAGCACCAGGCCGAGCCTCACGCGCGAAAGAAGGCGAGGGGAGCCACGGGCCAACTATATCATGTATATATGTATATATATATATATATGTATGTCAGGGATCCTTACATTATACACCTGAACATTGCCTTGTAAATGGTGGTGTCCCTGTATTTTGGTGGAAAAAGCCATGTTTCAATTGGGCAAAATGTATCTTTTAAGGAGCCCTGTATAATATATATATATATGTATATATATAGGGTGGGAAAGCCCTGGGTCACTTGCCATAGTCTGGAATCACTGGGTCCACAAGGTTGGAAATGCACTGAGACTATTTCGACATGGTTCGCTACACAGAACCTAAACATCTTATTCGTAGCCGAGGGGCAAAGACAAGGGAAAACCCCAGGTAGTTCCAGAGCTGCAACGTTTGGGTATCCGTTTGAGTCCAAACTAGTTCCTGCCCAACCTGTGTCACGCGTGCGGCTGTGAATTTGGGGATTGCCCATTTTCTGGGCTGCTTTCGACAGCCAAAGAGAAAGGACGACTCAGCCATCCCATGGCCGCAATAACCCAAGCCCCATGGCAGACCAAGGGCGGCTCCCTACCTTCATGGGTTTTTGCTTTTGCTTTCTCTTTTCGGATCGGTCGATCAAGTCGCGTTCGGATCGGTTGCCAGAGCCTTGCAAAAAGGACCCCACTTGCAGGTTGACCAGGGTTTCTCCCAACAAAAAGGGCAGAGCTGCCATTGCACTGGGATCCAGGTGACGGCAACAATCCAAACCGGCACCAAAACAAGAGGGAGGGGGATCATGTCTCAAGCCGGAGCGTCCTTTCTTTTGGCCCACATGTTGCATCAGAAAGTCATCATTGTCTGACTATGTTCCATTAGTCGACCCCCACACCTGTATATGTGAAGTGGTGCTATCCACACGTATAGCCCGGAGTCCTCCACAATGTCCCAGTATGATACCCTTTGCACATAAGATGTTACTTCAACTAGTAACATTCCAATTTTGAATATAGTTTAGTATGGATATAGTTTTCAAAAATGTGTTTATGTTCAATTACAGCTTAAACAAGCAAATCCTTTCCAAATAGCAGCTACATGAAAATGTAAGTATATATTTTCGGCTAAACTCCAACTAATCTATAACACAAGAAGTCAGATGGAAGTGGTTCCCAAATATAATCCAAGTGGTAAGTATAATCTAAGACGAACACAACTCAATTTGCTTTTGATAATATCAAGTGAATAGAGACTACATCTCAAATATAATGCATATTAAATATGGCTAAACATTTGGAAATTAAAAATAGGATTTGTGTTGCTTACATTCTGGCCCTTTTGTGGCATAAGAAAGGTCCGACATTGAACTTGTTAGACGGTGTTCCAAAGGGAAATTTCAAGGGAAGAGAGGTTCAAAATCTAACACTATCTCGAAACAGGGATTCTAGCTAAACCGTTGTATTTAAAGTTCTATTTGCGCAGGAAAGTTAATTCTATGTCAAAACGTGGAGGTAGTAGATGAGCAAATGTGGACAGGTAGTTCAAGAGGGTGGGGGACGGTGTGTGAACGTACATACATATGTATATCTATATATACACATACATACACACATATATAGTACCCCCAATGATCCTGCGCCTCCTCATAAAATACTGGAAAATGCAGTATTTTTGAGCGTTGCACCTGCCTTTGTTTACCTCCTGGAAAGGGGTCAACATGAGCATAGCTGACATGAAGCTCACCAAAAGCACTTGAAAGTTTGTCTAACCAATAACTTGAAAGTGTGTCCACTGGATCGCTAAGCACTTGAAAATTTGCTACTATCGGATGGAAGATTCAATATTGAAGATTACACAGAACACTTTCCTGAGAATTGTCAATCCTGGCCAAACCCAAATAGCATTCAAGTTCTTCTAACACTTGAAAGTGCTTTACCACTGCATTGGGGATCAATATCCGCCGACATTGCTCGGCGTGTCGGACACCTAAGAGAGGATAGAGGATAACCCCCCCCCCTAACCCCCCCCCGACGTCTGATACGTGGGGGGGGGCCCCCCCCCCCCCCCCAAGGACCGCGCGGCAATTTGATGACGTTCCACTAAACGTAGTCTTCGGGGAGCCGGTGTCGCAAAACAGGGGTCCCAGGCTCGATTCCCCCTGCCGGCTTTTTTGCTGGCTTGGGCTTCCTGCATCCTTTTGCCGAAAATCTGGCAAAACTCTGTGTTTTTGGACATCCTCTTTGCGAAAACGCTGGAAAAACCGTGTTTGTTTGCGGGAAATACTGGGGAGCAAAGGGGAAGTGCAAGGATACATACATACATACATTACATACATACATACATACATTACATTACATTACATTACATTACATTACATTACATTACATTACATTACATTACATTACATTACATTACATTACATTACATTACATTACATTACATTACATTACATACCATTACATTACATACATACATACATACATACATACATACATACATTAATTACATTACATTACATACATTACATTACATTACATTACATTACATTACATTACATTACATTACATACATACATACATACATACATACATTACATACATACATACATACATACATTACATACATACATACATTACATTACATTACATTACATTACATTACATTACATTACATTACATTACATTACATTACATTACATTACATTACATTACATTACATTACATTACATTACATACATACATACATACATACATACATACATACATACATACATACATACATACATACATACATACATACATACATACATACATACATACATACATACATACATAATACAAACATACATACATACATACATACATACATACATACATACATACATACATACATACATACATACATACATACATACATACATACATACATACACATACATACATACATACATACATACATACATACATACATACATACATACATACATACATACATACATACATACATACATACATACATACATACACATACATACATACATACATACATACATACATACATACATACATACATACATACATACATACATACATACATACATACATACATACATACATACATACATACATACATACATACATACATACATACATACATACATACATACATACATACATACATACATACATTACATACATACATACATACATACATACATACATACATACATACATACATACATACATACATACATACATACATACATACATACATACATACATACATACATACATACATACATAAACATACATACATACATACATACATACATACATACATACATACATACATACATACATACATACATACATACATACATACATACATACATACATACATACATACATACATACATACATACATACATACATACATACATACATACATACATACATACATACATACATACATACATACATACATACATACATACATACATACATACATACATACATACATACATACATACATACATACATACATACATACATACATACATACATACATACATACATACATACATACATACATACATACATACATACATACATACATACATACATACATACATACATACATACATACATACATACATACATACATACATACATACATACATACATACATACATACATACATACATACATACATACATACATACATACATACATACATACATACATACATACATACATACATACATACATACATACATACATACATACATACATACATACATACATACATACATACATACATTACATACATACATACATACATACATACATACATTACATTACATTACATTACATTACATTACATTACATACATACATACATTACATTACATACATACATACATACATACATACATACATACATACATACATACATACATACATACATACATACATACATACATACATACATACATACATACATACATACATACATACATACATTACATACATACATACATACATACATACATACATACATACATACATACATACATACATACATACATACATACATACATTACATACATACATACATACATACATACATACATACATACATACATACATACATACATTACATACATACATACATACATACATACATACATACATACATACATACATACATACATACATACATACATACATACATACATACATACATACATACATACATACATACATACATACATACATACATACATACATACATACATACATACATACATACATACATACATACATACATACATACTACATTACATACATACATACATACATACATACATACATACATACATACATACATACATACATACATACATTACATTACATTACATTACATTACATTACATTACATTACATTACATTACATTACATTACATACATACATACATTACATTACATTACATTACATTACATTACATTACATTACATTACATTACATTACATTACATTACATTACATTACATTACATTACATTACATACATACATACATTACATACATACATACATACATACATACATACATACATACATACATACATACATACATACATACATACATACATACATACATACATACATACATACATACATACATACATACATACATACATACATACATACATACATACATACATACATACATACATACATACATACATACATACATACATACATACATACATACATACATACATACATACATACATACATACATACATACATACATACATACATACATACATACATACATACATACATACATACATACATACATACATACATACATACATACATACATACATACATACATACATACATACATACATACATACATACATACATACATACATACATACATACATTACATTACATTACATACATACATACATACATACATATGCATACATACATACATACATACATACATACATACATACATGCATACATACATACATACATACATACATACATACATACGAGAGAGGGAGATTGGGGAGAGAGAGGCTTGGGGGGATGGGGAGGTTGGGGAGCAGAGGGAGGGAGAGAGGACGACAGAACACACCAGGGAGACAAGGGAGAGAGGAAGAAGGAGAAAAGGGAGAGGACAATGTCGGCGGACTGAGCCGGAGGCTCTAAAGTTGAGGAGCCCACAAACCACCACTTTCCTGAGAATCATCCATCCTGGTCAACCCCTAAAATGTTCAAGTTGTTCTATCACCTCGAACATCCGTTACCACTGGATTGAACTATTTCACGGAAAACTTTTCCGAGAATCTTATTGAACACCGAGAGTATTGGGACAACCCTGGATTTTTTAATAATTTTTAAAAATTATGGGATTCAAGATTCAAGATTCAAGATTCCCAGAAAATATTTTCTCAGATTCTTGAATCTTGAATCTTGAATCCATAATTTTTAATAATTTTTAAAAATTATGGGATTCAAGATTCAAGATTCAAGATTCCCAGAAAATATGTTCTCACATTCTTGAATCTTGAATCTTGAATCCCAGAATGTTTAACAATTTTTAAAAATGTCTGAGTTGTTCTTGTATTCTTGGATGCATTCAAACTCTTTCAGATTGCAGGTGCTGATGTCATTGCTTTTATCACATCTGTATGCATGCATGCGTATCATATACATGTACGACCATCCCCCCAATTTTGACACAAATCCAAGAAGCAAAAAGAAGCATAAAACACTGGTCAACCGCACCAAACCAGGGTCCATGGGGGGGGTACCATATATATATATATATGTATATATACGCGTGCATAGCGAAATCCTCCAACAAAAAACCCTCTCTAAACGGCGTCCGTTTTTTGGGGGTCCTAACGGACAAACCAAAGGAACACCGCTGCGCCATTGGGGGCCAACCTTAAGAAAGGCACACCATGGCGGCCTCAATGCTTCCGTTTGCTTAAGCGCACTCGAAAAAATGAGAACATATTTCCAGTAGTGATAGATTGCCTTCAAAACCAACCAGGGGAGAAAAGAAAACCATATATATTCATGTCAGCAAATGGAAGACAATGGAAACCGCCAAGTCAACAGTTCCTGGAGGAGACGCCTCCACGGGATGTGTCTTCTCCAAGCCGCACTTTCCCTCGGCGGGTGTGGCACCGGCGCCCCTTTTCCATGGCTCACATCGTCGGGTGTTCCAATGCCTTCAGGCGACTCACTCGAAGCAGCGGCTGCAGGAATATGAATCCACTGTAGCTACACGGCCGCAGGAAGACTAGGTCCTCCAGTAGCGAGGTTAGAATAAGGGTACCAACCTTTTTTCTGTAGTCTATTGTAGCAGGGCAACCCTCCCCCAAAGAAGGGTAAAAGGGCACTACTGGGGGAAGAAGATGAATGGTTTGGCTTATCAAAGAACAATATTCCAAACAAAGCTGGAAGCTTATTGGAAGTGACACTCCCTCGTCCGAATGGATTTGCAAAATTGGCGCCCAAAATGGAAGTGCCGTCTTTGAGACTTAGTGGCCTTCCGGGGCTGTGTTCGGGTCCACAATTTTGAGGACCCGAACTTGCCCGCACCACATGCGAAAAATTGAACATCACATTCTGCTGGCACTTTTTTCCTTTAGACTTTGTGGCACTTTCTTCACCTGTCAAAGATTTTGTAGCCTGAGGGTTGACTCATTCTCAGAGTTCTGAGAAGCCTGCACCCCTCTTCGGTGCTTGAATTAGCTTCCCCCAGAAAAAGTAAAAAGGGTGCCGACCATGGGAAAAAAAGGCACCCTTCTTCCCCAGAAAAGAAGGGGGCGCAACTTGCTGCAGGGCAACTGCTTGGAAAAGATTCTTGGGTTCTCGGTGCGCTTCTTTGACAGCGAGCGAACTCCCCGGCGAGCGCGCAAGATCTTGCAGCTTGAAACGTCACGGGTTCCATGCAACAACAAACAAGCAAGCAAGCAAGCAAGCAAGCAAGCAAACAAACAAGCAAGCAAGCAAGCAAGCAAGCAAGCAAGCAAGCAAGCAAGCAAGCAAGCAAGCAAGCAAGCAAGCAAGCAAGCAAGCAAGCAAGCAAGCAAGCAAGCAAGCAAGCAAGCAAGCAAGCAAGCAAGCAAGCAAGCAAGCAAGCAAGCAAGCAAGCAAGCAAGCAAGCAAGCAAGCAAGCAAGCAAGCAAGCAAGCAAGCAAGCCAAGCAAGCAAGCAAGCAAGCAAGCAAGCAAGCAAGCAAGCAAGCAAGCAAGCAAGCCACCAGCAAGCAAGCAAGCAAGCAAGCAAGCAAGCAAGCAAGCAAGCAAGCAAGCAAGCAAGCAAGCAAGCAAGCAAGCAAGCAAGCAAGCAAGCAAGCAAGCAAAGCAAAGCAAAGCAAAGCAAAGCAAGCAAGCAAGCAAAGCAAGAAAGAAAGACGCATAGAAGCAAAGAACGAAACAAGCGAAACCAAACACACAAATACTTGTGTTGCGATGTTTGGTGGATGAAAGGCAGGATGCAGCAACAAGGGGTCCATCGGGGGGATCCAGGATAGCCTACTCTCCTTTTTGTCAGTTGCTCAACTCCGAGGGGGATTGACTCCATGAGTGGATTGGCCAAAAATATCCAAACTGCTCGTTTACCACCAGCCCCAGTGCTTAAGCTCCAGAGACTAGTTGGAATCAACAACCTCACCCTTCAATAGACCAAACAAACAGTTGGAGAACTGTGGGTTGGCAAAGCCAACAACATCTTGTGCGTTGTGGGCCGGTCCCCAACATGGTTGGGTTGAAAAGGAAGCCAACAAAAACCATATGTCTTCGAAAAGGCGAGGCACCCCCCACTTTCTGGGGACACCCCCCTTACTCATCAACAAGCAGTTTACTAACTTGTCGACATTAAAAAGAGAGACCCAACCATCGGTGACCTTTCGTTGAAAATAGAGGGGTTCCCCTAAACCGGTGGAACCCAGATATGAACCAAATTAACGGATCAAAAAAAAACACCCATGGTAAGGAAGTGCATATTTGTTCCAACAAGTTGAAGGTGGAAGACCCAACCCAGGGGGCTCCACAGCTTGATTCACCTGTGGAACATTAAACCGAGAGACACCCCGAGACTCGGTCGACCAAGACATCCGCCCCTCGATCGGTCGAAAACGCCTCTTTGGAGGCCTTCATCTCGCAAGGCTTGCCTGAAGAAACTGGGCTCCAGCCCGACGAGAGACTCGACCCCATAGCGTTCATGTCCTGTTCGTGTCCCTTTTGGTCTTGGTGGAATGAGGGAATGAGGGAATGTTCATGCCCTGTTCATGCCCTGTTCATGCCCTGTTCATGTCCTGTGCATGTCTTGGTGCTCGGGGAATGAGGGAATGAACCTGAGAATCCCGCTAAAAGGAACCCACAAAGTGGATGGTTTATATGGGGTCATTCCATGTCTCACTCTCTGCCTATCGCTCCAGCAGGTTGGTTCGCCGTTTTCTGTGGGGTAGCGGATTCGGGGTGCGGGGAGGGGAATCACCGCAGTGCTGTCTGGGTTTTTGCCCTGCCACAAGAGTTTCCTGGAAAGGGGGGCATGTCCAACCCTTGGTGTGGTAACAAAGACAAAGAGGCTTCCCCCCCCCACTAAAATGAAAAGGACAAACACATACAAAAAACAAAAAAAGTCACATGGACAGTGAAGACGACCGAACACACGAGCCAGGGCCCGTACTAATAGAATACTAAACTGTCCAAACTGATCACCTGCTAAAAAGTGACTAACTTTTAGTGGCTCCAATGGACACGCAACCACCAAGCCAACCAACAACAAGTAAAAAAACCTGACGATTCGCTGGGAACCGCCAAGAATCAGCCTCGCAATTCAAATGGAAATCGGTGTCCCACCAAACGAAGCACCGCCCCTGATTACCATGACCCTGTCAATCAGCGGTACATTGACGAAATCGATCGATAGATGCAGAGAATGCATGCGAATACGCGAAAGCAGTCTTTCTCCGGATTAATCCGAAGGGAAGTGCAAGTGGTTGGAAATTGGAAGGTGAAAACTGGAAGGTGAAAACTGGAACGTGAAAACTGGAACGCGAAAATTGGAACGTTAATATTGGAAGGTGACAATTGGAAGGTAAAAATTGGAAGGTGAAACTTGGTCTACTTAGTCTACCCTAAGATCGACTGTATTCTTTTGGAGGAGACCCCGGACCAATGGAAATTTAGGGGGGTCTTGGTGTGAATGGCACCTGCGCTTCTGTTTACTCTACCTTGTGCAACCATACACTAGATAGCTCGTGCTCTGCCTGCGCAAGTATTCACAGTCCACTCGCTGTCAGTCACCTTCCAGGTCATCGAGTTGACTGACATTACAAACATAAAAAAGCCCCCCCCCCCCCCCTGATGCTTGGAATCCTGCACTGTTGACCCACACATACATACATTTATATATATACATACACCAATAAGAGTGGATTGTCCTATTTTAATAACAAGCACACGCACACCCATAGTCATCAGCAACCACCTAAAATGAAGCCTGGTAGTAGGATTCACCTACGAACCAAACCCTCTGAGAAGCTCGCTGAAACCCGCACGAGTCCCGGGCCGCAATGGTTCGCCATCTGCGCGATGGAGCGGTGCCGGTACTTCTGGCCCCCGCACCTCGACGCGATGCTTAAAGGACCTCTACAGGTAGGCGAAGAATGAGCCATGGGCCCCCCTCTGGGGTACACAGTACATGTTCAGGTTTTCTGCTTCATGTTTAGTCTACCTTAAATTATCGCCATACTGGGGTATAACAGTAGATATATTTGGGGTAACTGGGGTTGCCACCCTTATATCCAGGGCTCCTAATCCTCCATCTGCTTAAGTCTCGTGGGAAAACCGATAGATGGGGTGCCGCCAAGCCGAGACGAGCCAGGGTCTGGGGGGGGGGGGGTCTGTCCTTTGCAGCCCTTTTTGGGTTGCTTTGAAGCGGTAAAGAGGGTAAATGCAAAAACTACCTGCTTGGTGGGCTCCTCGTTTTATCAGCTGGCCCGAAAAAGGGGGTGTCTGTTTTTTCACAATAATCAACCCAACAAGAAGGCCATGCCCCGCAGAAGGGGATTCCAACTCCATTTGTCTGGCCTTCCCCACAGGAGATGTCCAAATCAGAGGCCCTTTGTGGTACTCCGCGCAAGGAGGCCGCAGGGTGCAAAGAGCAACCCTTCTTTTTTTGACCACCCCTTCCCTCCCGCCAAATGTAGTATGTGCAGCATATCCTCCTGCCGGGAAAGGGAAAAAGCAGCCTCTCAGGTCCCTTGTATTCTGAAAAGAGTACCCTCAAAGGGACAACCTCCGAGCCTGCCGCCTCCCCGAGAAAACCACCAGGACCCTCTTGGAATATCCTCCCGCACGTTAAACGGAGACACCCCAAACAGCAGAGCCGCCCGTTGGCCCAGGGCTCGCCGTCTTTCTCGCGAGCGCTTGGAGGGCTGCAGGGTTTTGGACTCAAAGCCGCCCCTGCGCACCGCGGTTCCCAACAAAAAGACCCAAACTCGCGGCCTGACTGAGGCCTTGCTTGGAAGCCACCAGCGAAAGTCAGCGCTTCCAGCCACCGCAGGTGACCAGAACATCTTTACATCTAGCCTTCAAGTCTTTCCCCCCTACACATCAGGATTCGAGGATTCCTTTGGACAAAAAAACACAAAAAACAAAGAAGGACTGCAAAAAAAAAACATACCCCCTCCTCACCAACCAAGAAAAATATGGGTCATCGAGCACCCAAACAAAAAAAACGCGGCCCCCGTTTGCCAGAGAGGTGGTGTCCATCCTCGCCATCCTCGGGTCCCAGATTCCAAGCCCCAGGCTTGCTGCAGGCACCCCAAGTGCTCCACGCGCCCCACCTGAGAGGAGGAGTCAGTTAAGGCACCCCCTTGGAGGTTTGAATGGAACCAGTGGAGTGGGGTGTCGTGGGGAAGTGGGGTAGTGGGGTAGTGGAGTTAGGGGAAATGGAGTGTAGGTCATGGGTAGTTGAGTACCGACTTTGGTTGTCTTTCCCTTTGAGATACAAGTGGGCGTCTCCCTTTTGTTGGAGTTGGTTCCTCTTGTATTGTGGGTTTAAGGAAAACCACAAGGAAAACGTTGCGCCACTTTGGTGGGTCCAACCTAAAAAGAAGACACAGGATAAGAGACGCCTGGGTGCTCTCTTCAACATGGATGGCCAATACGAGTTTCCAGAGGGAGATGACTCCAATTCCAAGGCTTAGGGTTCGCCTTTGAACAACCCAAGGTGACGTTTTGCTTTTTCGAAACTCATGGAAGGATCTCACACAGCGCAACTTTGAAGAGCGCGGCTTGCTGGGCCTTCCCGAACTTTGGGCTTACTTGGCCATAGTTGCCCAACCAGCGGCCAAATGGGCATGCGTTCGCAAAAAATACGAGTAAAAAAAAAAATCAATGGCCGGGACAGATACGGGGGATGCTCCTTTTAGTCTCCCTTTCGACCAACTGTCAGCTGTGTCCTCCAAACGCCAACCAGCGAGGCGTTCGGTGTTGGAGGTCGTGCAAGGCGTCCAGGCCGAAAAAAACATCGGGACACTCATCTGGTTCCCCTACGGTTTTCGTCACTTCTTCTTTCGGCGGTTTGAAGGGGGAAAAAACCGAAAGGAACACCACACTTCTCACTTGCTGAGCGGATGGCCCCAAAAAAGTCCGAACTTTATATTTACCACTAACATGGTCTTCCCAAAAAGTTTAAAATTCAGGGGGGGGGGGGGGCACCCCACTGGATCCAGGGCACCTGCTCGCTTCTTTTTCGGGGAGCCCGGGCGCCCGGGCATGCAGTCCTCGCAGTGGATCTGATGGCAGGGTTGCTCATTGCAGGGCTCCACCGTCGTCAAGTCCGTCTCGCCTCGGAAACGGACTTGGATGTTCGAGGGGAGCATCCAGGCGACGGGTTTGGATGCGGCGCATCTGTGGACCCACCCCTCTAGGGGGTTGATTCCTGGTCCATTCTTTTCAGCCCTCGTTCTTTTCAACAACCGATCGCCGATTTCCCCCAGGGTTTTTGCTGGTTTTCTAGAAAGATCCCTGGAAAGAATGGGGAAGTTACCAGTAGAAATGTGGCAAATTCGTGGATCCACCCCATTTTGAAAAGAGTACTAAAAGATTGCTGAAGAAGGAGTTCAACAGGGGGAAGAACAGCTAAAATCCACAAAAAACACATCCAAAGTGTTTTCTAGACTACTCACTTCCGATTGAATGTCTTAGTCGGAAAAAGTAACCAATCTTTTTGCTTACCACTTAAATGGGGCCATGTCAATTGGTGTAAAGAGTTGGCTACCCTCCATGGGGACCATCGGGGGGTATTTCAGAGCCCGTTTCGCGTTCCTTAGGCCCCCTTGCACCACCCCCCTTTGGGATTCCCGAAAAGAAGGATCAGCTTCCCTAACGGGGGGTCCCATTTACTTGCATCAAATCCAGACTTCACAAATCCAAGCCAAGCCACCAGTTGAGGGTTACCCGACTCAAATCAGAGACTTTCATCATCCTTTCACCTCCGAATCGGCTCTCGGCTCCGATTCGATCCCCTTGCCCGGGTCGCGCCAAGCAATCAAATACCGTGGAGAAAGGGGGGGGGGTATCGCTTTTTCAGGACCCAAAATGGTGGTTCCCTCTAAAACCAGCCACAAACTCCCCTACAGATTGACTAACATCAAGCCCAAAAAAACCCACCCAGTTCTGGAGGCATCTCCTTTTGGGACACGCCCCTTTTTGGGTTCCATGTTGATTTGTAGGGGAGTAAGTCCAGCCAAACCTCCGAAGGGCACCCCCGCAGGGCTGGCCGCCGTGCTTGGGAGCCGTCTTCACCTCAACGCAACACCCGGTTTTCTCTTGCACTCTGGTGAAAAGATGGCGATCCGAAGCTTGGTGCAACAACTTGGGGTACACAGAAAGCAGCACCTCTAGAATCCGTGGCGGTGGCCGTATTTTTGGCCAGCCTAAATCACGACGTACTTTTGGAGACCCCAGAAACTGGTTTAAAAGGGTTGGGAAAAGAGTCTAAACAACCAAACCCTGGCCCTCAATAAAAAACGAAAAGCAGATTGGTTAAACAAGAATGGTTTGAACAGCCGATTCAATCCTGATATTGCGCAACCTCAAAATTCCGGGACACCCCCAGCTTCCTGGCCGTGGAATCTGAAGCCTCCCGCTTGCACGACTTAGTTCAGACGGCCCAGACCGGGTCATGTATTCCCATGGCAAAAATCGAAGCGAATCGGCCCTCTCTTGATTGGTTCATGTCAGGGAACCCCTGGAAAAGGGAAACGACAGAGCTTCGGAGTCGCCTGGGGGTTAGTCTTACGCGTGTGCTGGGCTGATCCAACACTACGAGCCACGGGAACAACACGACTTTCCCAAGACATGGACAGATGTGAGTCTCCCGGCTTTTGTCAGACATTTAGCTTACCCCTTAAAACTCCAAGGATTGGGGAAGTTAACCTTTTACAGACATGTAGCCCATGTTACCCCCAAAAAGTTGAAAAGTTGTGTTTTTAAGAGGTAAGTTAGTGACCCGTGTCATGCCCCCGAAGTCCACTTTCGAACCTCATGTGACGTCGAGGCTCGCAAATCGACTTGCTTAAAAACTTAAAAGTTTATTCCGAGCTCAAACATCCATTCGCAGGCCAGCATGCCCTTCGTTCGCTTCTTGTCCATGCCATGATCGAGTTGCTGAAGTTGCCACTGAATCATAATTCATGTCCTAGTGGTTACCTGACCAATAACATAATCGCCAATTTAGAAACAAGTCACAAGCAAATCCTGGCATTTGTTTACGGCCTACCCAGAACGAAGAATTCAGGTGCTATTGGATTCTCTGTTCCTGGCGCACCTTCGACCCGAGCTTCTGTGAGCTGCAGCCGAACCCCTCCAAGAGCTCGGCGTGCCAAGCCCAAAGGCCCAAACAAGAGGCCAACCCAAAGCAGATATCTCGCAAAACACACCGCCAATGCAGGTATTTATGCCATATGGCCCGTGAAATGGTGGAGCCACTTTCCAAAAGGGTATGTCAAGGGAAACCAATGGAAAACACACGTTTTGGGGGGCCGCGAATTTGAGAACCCCCCCCCCCTTGTGCACACGCAATGTGCAAATAAAAACCCCGCCCGCGCAAGTGTTACTCTCCGAAGCAAATCGAAGGCACCCGTTCCTTGCAAATTCCACACGCCCAAAGGAAAACTGCACTAATCAAAGGAATAAAAACATAAGAAAACATGTATAAATTATAAATGTTCAAATGAAACAAACCAACCAAACAAACAAACAAACAAAACAACCCAAAACAAACAAACACAGCAGCAAATGCATAAAATGTCTCTCTATAGAGCTCGACATGCACATGTGCATACCCAGAATCTCCATGACCCCTAGAAACAGGGGTCATGACTTCATGACCCCGAAATTTTGGGCAATAACCCCATTTTTTTAGGGTCATGGAGCGTATGTGTGGATGTCTGTCAGTGGCCTTCGGGTGTAAAAGGGCAACTCGGTCCTCGGGCAGTGCGGCTGCGCTCCCGTTGGCCACCTCCACAGTCGCGGGAGCAGCGGGTCCTCGGCTCTCAGAGCTTAAGGTCACATTTGGCGGTGGGGCTTAAAGGTGTTATCCGTTTTGGAACCCGAGTAAATGGAACCAAGGGCTAAAATCTCCGGTCCCCTGGTGCTTTAATTTTTACCCATTTCAAAGAGCTCTTTGAAATGGGGCAAAATCAAACCACCAGGAATTGGACCGCAGGTTTTGGTCCATTCCACTTACTAGGGTTCCATTTCAGGTACCTATTTTTGACCCACACCGCCGTTTGGCTGAGTTTGGCTGTTTCCACTTTGGCTTTCTCTTGATACAGCGCCCCGATGCAGCTAAGACTCAACACAAGACACGGTTTATTCTGCTGCCTTCTGGTCTTGTTCTGTGAGTCTTAAAGGTGTTATCCATTTTGCAACCCCGGTGAATGGAACCAAGGACTAAAACCTGCTGTTGTTTGTTGGTGCTTTAATTTTGACCCATGCCCATTTCAAAGAGCTCGACCAAAAAACCTGCAAAGATAAAGATAATGCAGAGATCTATTTGGTAGATCTTCTGCTAACTTTTGCAATCTGTTAACAGGGCTGGATATCCGCAGAGGTTGGTTTGGACTCACTTCGTCGAGCCAGGTTACGATGGCCCGGGTGACACGACCTTGCCACAGTCTCTTTCATATTCAGGCAACCCAAGAAATTGTAAAGCATAATCATACTGTGCATGGACGGAACCCTGCACTACCTAAGGAACCATGGTATGCTGGTGTAAATACCAACAAACAGAATGGTTTCAATCGTGGCTTCCTTTCGTGGCGCGAAATGGACTTCGCAACCATCCACACTGCGCTCTGCTTCTGGTGTATATTTGGGCTACCCTAAACTGGGCTGTCCTCAGATCCTTCGATAAAAGTTTAGCTATTAGTCTATTAGTGGGCTAAATGGGAACCCAGAACTAAAAGGTGCCGGGTATTTACCCACCCGAGTGGCTTCCACCCGCGCACGCCCGCTCACGCTCACGCGCATCACGTCAGAGCTGCACGCACGCTGACACATGATAAGCACACCCTGTCACGTGCATCACGTCAGAGCTCCACGCTCGCTGACCCCTGATAAAAACACCCGCTCACGTGTATCACGCCAAAAAATGCAGGCACGCTGGCACTTGATGAGCACACACGCTCATGTGCATCATGTCAGAGCTGCACGCACGCTGGCACGTACATCACGTCAGAGATGCACGCAAGCTGGGAACATGATAAGCACACCGGCTCACTTGCATTACGTCAGAGCTGCACGCACCTTGGCACATGATGAGCACACCCGCTCACGCGCATCACGCACGCTGGCACATCAAAAGCACACTCGCTGACGCGAATCACGTCAGAGCTTCACGCACGCTGGCATGACAAGCACACCCACTAGCTGCCATGTGTGCTGACTTGGTCCAAAGCTGCACATGTCGACCTGAGATTCAGCTTGTCTAAGTTAGTTACCGGGATGTCCCACAACCCCAGAAAACACGCATACTTGTCACGCTGCCTGAGAATAGATGTACCCGGCGCGAACAAAAAGAAGCACACTCAAAATGTGAGGCACCGGACGATTCTGTGGTTGACCCGCCAAGTAAAATATGTGCAACACCTTAGGAGACGCCACCCGCCGAGGCGCCACTCGTCCCACAAGTGCAGCTCGCAGTTGACCGGGGGCTTCTCTTGGCAGTCCAGCGGCGGCGCCTGCGGTTTTATTTTTTCCGATCCGGATGTCCGCGCGGCGCGAAACCTGCGCAACCACGGGAGGCGAAGCCTATTTCAAGGGTGACCTTCCCCATTCTTTCCGGGATCCTTCTTTCTAACAGACCACCAAAAACCCTGGGGAAACGGTTTTTGAGAAGAAAAAGAATGGAAAACCAACCCCTGGAAGTGAAGGGAACCCCCACTTGGCTGGCTTTTAAGGGAACAAGGGAAAGCCGAAGCCATTTTGGGGAGTCCCCCAAAAAAAACACCCCCAAAAAGAAGGCGGAGCAGTGGCATTCCCAAAATCGTCGAAGTCAGAACCCTCTTCCAAATCAAAGAAACACATCCCAAAATCGCATGTTTGACAAGTGGATCCTCTAAGTCAGGCAAGTGATTTGAACAGGCGGATTCCCTAAAACCCAAATCAAAAACTTTCCAAGACGACCGAGGACGTCGTTGCGGGGGATTCCGATGGCGCTTCAACTCAACCGTTCCTTTCCATCATGCTTTTGAGGAACTCGCAAATCTCCGAAAACACTTATGTGCTGTTTAGACAACAAGACCAGGCGGCATGCCCAGCCGCAGAACATCGAATGCTTCCGGAACTCTCCCTGAAAGATCCGATTCAAAACCAGTACACTGCTTGGAAAACTTAGAGACTGCGTCTGCTAACGAGCCGTTCAAGGAGCCGGATCAAGCTACTAATATGAACCCCCACCTGCACCGATTGACCCCAGTCAGCTGGTAAGGGAAGAAAACAACAACTTGCAACCATCACCCCCGCCTCCCCTCCTCCCCTTCCTCCCCTTCCTCCCCTTGTCCTGCCGTTCCTCCCCTCCTCCCCTCCTCCCCTCCTCCCCTCCTCTTCTCCTCCCCTCCTCCCCTCCTCCCCTCCTCCCCTCCTCTTCTCCTCCCCTCCTCCCCTCCTCCCCTCCTCCCTCCTCCCCTCCTCCCCTCGCAGCCCAAACCCCAAAGCCTGCAGCTTGTTGAACGCGGGAAGGAGGCGGCGCCCGCTCGGGGCGTCAGGGTTGAAGGGCACGATCCTGATTCACTTCGCGCTGGGTTGATTCTGATTTTGGGAAAGACACCCAAAAGAGCAACTCGCTGAGAGGATTCGCCAACTCACTTCCTGCGTAGATTGGCCAGACAAAATCCAAACCGATTGTTTGTCACTAAATTGCTCTTCCCCAAAAGTATTCAGTCCAGGACCTCGGGAGTAAAGCAACAAGTCCCAACTTCTTGCTTGCCACAAAAACAGGTCCATTCGAGGTCTGAGTATTTACAGTGGCTTGGTGAGGGAACCGAGTCTGCACCAGACCAGGCTGAATGGTCTCGAAGGCAACAACCACTCCCCATGATCATTTCGTTGAAGCTTACTTTCAATCGTTGGCTTCACGCTGGTCGTCAGCGAAAAAAACAAAACTCATCGCCACATCCCAATTCTAAGCGCAAAGTCTCCAGATGCTGCGGATAGACATAAAGCAAAGACCACCCAATTTCACCCGCTGCTCGACCTGGAATTTTGCATCCATCAGGTGCCAAAAGCCACTGCCTTTGACCACCCAGGATCTGATTGACTGCCCAGAAATGCTGCACACTTCGCCAACAGCAGATGGCCGCAGAAAAAAAACAACAACTCAAATCGTATGATTGGGAAAAGATCCTTTCAGTTGGTTCTAGTGCTAAGTTCCCGAGTTCTCCCAGAGATCCGTCTTGAAGAAAAACACGATATAGGCTTAGACAAACACCCTCGGGAAAGGTTTCTAAAATCAGTCCTGGACCAAAACGAGCAACTGGCGATCCAAATGGTTGGGAAACCAAACGCCCCTGGAAAAAGTGTCGTTTCTGGTTTTGGTCAATTGCGCGCTGGTTGAACAGAACGGTGAAGGAATCAACCCCTAGACAGGCCGATGTCTAGAGCCATTCTTGAGCCCCCGGACGGGCCCGGGTTGCATGGCTCGATGACCTGACATGCGACGGACAAATCGGCGAAGTGTCTATTGAAACGGATTTGGGGCGTCCTCAGCCACAGTACTTCTTTTGAAACTGCTCGCAACATGTCATGTTGTCTTGGAGACAAACAAGGCTGCGCGTTGGTTCTTACACGGTCAGGGTGTGAGCTAAGTTGCGGTTTACAGGCGGGTGAGAAAGGGGGCGGCCAATTGGGGGTAAGCACTGTTCTACGTCCTGGAAGCAGCGATAATTCAGCAGTGAGGAAAACCCGTTGAGGGTTTTGATTTCACCAAGATGGCGGTCAAGCCTAACTTGAGCCTTAGCCCTAAGGACCAGAAGCCTTGACTAAGCTAAGTTCATAAACCTTTGGTTCCTCGACGCCTAATCGCCAGCAAAGGAAAAGCGGTTCAAGCCGAGCCAGAAGTGGTTCATCCGGTCCACTCGCTTTTGCTGAGCAATCCACAGATGGAGCGGGGAAGGCTACCCCTGACTCAAAATGGAGGCACTCACCATGAGAAACTTGGGTTTTCCAAACTATACCCTGGAGAACACTCCCCACCACCCCCTTTTAATGCGGCGGGTAGAATGGGTTGACAACTTGATAGTTAGACGGGGCAACCTCGGCAACCCAACACCTCTCAAATTGTACTTTCAGAAAACTCTCAGACAACTCTCAAAAATCCCAGTCAACGGTTGCCTATTTCCATTTCAACCAACCCGAGAATGGCCCCAAAACACACACCCATTTGGCCATGGGTCAAAACCCGGCTATCCCCCAGTGAACATCCCAATCCCCACTAAAATAGGTTCTAAAACGGGTGGTGAATTCGCCTACCAACCAAAATGGTACCAGCCATAGGGGCAAACTAAGTTGGAACAAAACAAACGGCAGTTCACTTTCAAGGGCACCCCCTAAGAAGTGATAGGCCGTGGTTTGGGGCTACCCAGTTCAGAGGAAGTGTCTCAATCGGGGCCCCAATCCAGGTGGTTTGGCTTCCTTTTGGTTTTAGCTCAAGCCCTCCCTTTGCGTGTTTGCCCCCTGGAAGCCATGAGCAAACATGTCCAGTAGTGAAATCGATTCCCTTCAAAACCAACAGGGGGTTGCAATTTATTTAAGGAGAAAAAGCACACAACAACTATGTATTTCAAAATTTCAAGCAAGAAGCACGGAACGCCTCTTCATTTCAGCCAACGGAAGACCCCCCCCCCCCCCCCCGAAGAAACGAAGTGTCCCAAGAAGGTTCCCTTCGAGGCACCGGCCTTCAGCGCCGCGAGCTTGCAGGCCTTGCCGTTCCCCGTGGCGAAGTGGGAGATGTAGCGGTTCCTACCCCGCGAGCGACGGACCGAGCCGCGGACTCGACTCGGACTCGACGCGGCTGGCGGCTGGACTCGGGAGCCGAAAGCTCCGAAGAGACCCCGAAGGCTGAGTGGGTCTTGGACCCAAGTGAAACTCCTGAGACTTGAAGTGGGGAGCGGGAGCCGACTTAAAACTCAAGGAAAACTTGGATGCAGCAGGGGAAGCTCCTGAGAGTTGAGGTGGGGAAGCGGTAGTTGATTCAATCAAAAGCAAAAAGCCGAAAGCAGGGGAACGCAATTGAACCGAAAGGAAGTTGGTTCAGAGGTTACAGGGTCAGAAAGTCGAAAGTCGTCTAAAGGGCAACCCTTTGGGTGTTTTCCTGTGCCCTTCTTTCCACAAGCTTGAACAAGCACACAGCCTCTCAATATCGTCGGCTTCAGATTTGCCTTCTGACCATTCTCCATTCAAGGTTGAAACTACACGGGATCCCCCGCAGAGTGTTGCTACTGTTTGTGGAATGAACTGTTGCCAAAGCCATAGTTGTACATTGCAACCAGAAAGAAACCCTGCTTTTCCCCCAAAAGGCATGGGCAAGGTGGTCCCTTCAACAAAACCAATCAAAGGCGCTGTCATTCTTTTGGGTGGTCCCTTCAACACAGCTTTTGGGTATTTTTTTTTCTTTTCGCTCGCTCCTCCCCAGCCCAACGGCCCCGCCTCTCGCGGATGCCGAAGCAATGGCAGCTGCAATGGGACCTCAGCCGCAAGGGTGAGAAAGACAAGGGCATGGCAGATATGGACAGTCATACAAGTGCTAAATATGGTGGGGGTTATACAAATGGTATATGAATGGCACAGACTGGTATCAATATGTAATATGTGGGTTTTGGAGGTATGGAGATTACCACTTATATAGGGGCATATCATGGCTTACGAGCATATATTGCCAGGACATAAGCATTGCCTCCAAAAACCCATACCCGTCAATGCCCTGGGCATTCACAACTCTGGGGTTCACCACAAGCAAAATCTTCGAATCCTGCTTCAGATTTGGTGTACAAAATCTGACATATGGTAGGGGGCCCCTCTTTTTGACAAGGGCCTTTTCAAGAACATGATTGTCTTTCAAAACCCGGGTGTTTCCAGAGCACCTGGACAAGTTAGCTCTTACAAACCTGAAATAGGAAATCCAAAAATAGGAAACTTCATAATGGGTGAGTCATTGAACCAAATGATTCTCCTCGGGGCCTGGGGGAAACTCTCACAGCAACATGTGTCTGCCACTTGGAATTCCAAGCCCTGGCTTTTAGGTCTCAAAGGTTGGTTGTAGAAAGCCCGTTCATCTGCCAACTTTACTATATTCCAAAGCTGAATTAAGGGACCCCCTATATATATATATATATACATACATATTTGTATACGCATACAAAATCAGCATTCCCCCCCCCAAAAAAAAAAAACAAAAAACAACAGCGGGGGTGAGTTGGTTTGGGCTGACGTCCGGTCTCCTCTTCCCTGAGCCGAATGGCCACTGGCCCCAGTCGTGCAGCTCGCAGTCGGTGTCTTGCACGCAAGGCCTCGGCCGCGGGGCGTCGGAAGCGGAAAAGGTCCGGTCCGCGAGGGCCGAAGCGGACAGTTTTCGTTTGGCGTGTTTGTTTGTTCTTTTCTCTCGCTCTCTCGTTTTCTTTTGTATTTCATGTTGTTTGTTCTTTTCCCGAGGATTTCCTGATGTTTTTGGAAGCAGCTGAGTCTTAAGTGGTCCGCGAGGCGCCAGAATACTTCTTGATTTGGCCAACAGTAAGCCAAAATGAAGTGGACAGGGGCCCTGTGATTCCGGTATGTAAAGGGACCCCCGCTTACCAAATGGTTGGCTTCTGGGTTGGTCAAACTGACCCCCAAAAGTTGTCTGTGTCTAGGTTGCGGGTACACTACAATTGTCCAATACATGTTGGAAGGTTCAAAGAGGCACCCAAGAACAATGAAGAAAGTTGATCCATTGGTGGCGCCTGTATTGAAACCGAGGCACGAGCTGCAAGACGTCAACAAATCCAAAGGGGCTAGGGTGTGAGGGCGAAAACACGTCAGGAAATGGTTTTAGAAGCTGTTGACCGGCATTTGGGTGTGCCATGGTCCAAGCTTCTTTGTCCGCTCCGTTGAATAGGACACTGTTCAATGCTTCCCCAAATTCCTTGGAACCAGCCCTAAGCCTGAGAAGTTGTTGCTTTGACTCTGGCCAGGATGGCCGGGAGGATTTCCTCACACGGGTCACACATCTCTCCAAAGTTAGCATTGCAGTAAGCAACCAGCTTGAAATCATTCTGCAATACCAAATTACCTCATGATCATCGGACAAGCATGTGTCAGTACGTAGCCGGCTTGCCTGGAAGCGCTGACCTCCGGGCAAATCACTGGACCAAGGAAGGGTGTTTCCAGGGTGTGTAGATGTGTAAGGCTTGCCGGTTCTCAAAAACCTCAATTTCGGGGTCTTGGCAATGAATCTGATTGGTTTAAAGGAAGCTGGGGTAGACTTGTTGGAAAGGAAAACCCCATCCAAAAGTTGAACAAAGGCACCGCTGGGTGTCCTCTTGCGAGGCAAACCCTGAGCTTTCCGGCGGCAGGTCTGTGCACAACTCGAACCTCGGGAAAGACTCGACCGGCGGTTGAGTAAGAAGCTCTGCTAAATGGTGCCTACACCCACCCACTTGTTCACGGGCATGATGCTACGGACGAAAAAAACTGTATTTTTACCATGGTGGTCTTGGCATATGCCTTCTTCCATTTGCGTGGTCGCACCCCTAGAAAAAATGATCAAATATGTCCGGTAGTGATAAATTCCCTTTAAAACCCAGGGAACATAAACGCACACTGGCCTTTGAAATTGGTACTTGGAGGGAAACTTTAGGGGCCCCCTTTTGGCGGATGGTGCTTTTTCTTTGTGGACCGAATGGATTAAACAAAAAAAAACAAGACGTCCCAGACAGTCGGGTGTGTCTTAGGGCTACTCCAAGGATGGCTTCGGTTTCCTGTTGGCTTCCCTTTAGTACTACTCCAAAAGGGGTTCAGAGCCATTCGAAGAGCAAGTGACATCCTCGAGGACTCTGCGGGCTAAACGAAAGCCATATCATATGGGTATGTGTGAAAACTAATTGAACCACCATGACGTGGACCGCAGGTTTTAGTCCTTGTTTCTATGCACCCAGATGTTCTGATTCCGCATATTGAGAACCCATCCAAATTTGTTCACTTTGAGAGAACATTGGGGCTGTCCGAGAGTTCCCCCTCCTTCGGGCACGTGGAATCGGTTTTCTGGACCTTTCCTGAGAAAAAAATACAACGGGGTACTCTGGATGGTTACAAAATCCACTTCCCACCAGCGGGATGAATGAAACTCGATGAATGAATGTGGTCGACCAATTCCACCAACCCCAACTGGTGCCGATCGATCCTCCGGCTGCAAGCCCCAACCAGTGGCCTTCACCATGTTCCCTTTGGTCCCAGCGTGGTTCCCTCGCTCGGTTCCCTGCAAAACCCAGGGGGAAATGGAATCACTGGGTAGGGACTCAAGTGTTTGGAGCAACCCATCGGTGACACTAAAATCATGGCTATAAAGTCTAGAGATCCAACCAAGTGGCAGCCAAGCGAACTTTTGCCGAACTCCCGGGAGAAAAGCCGCATCTTCCGGCCAAAGATGGGAAGCCGACACCATGTCTCTCCCGCTTGGTTTTCTCCGTCAGGACTCGTGCGGTACAACCGTTACTCAGAACAACTCCCAGGGCCCGTTGACCAGCGCAATGATCAACCGTCCAATAAGCTTAAAGCCCGTAAGCTTGAGGAAGTTGAGTTCTATGTCAACCTTTTCGTCCCACGTGCAAGCATGCCCCAACTCTTTTCTGTAAAAGGAGCCATGGCTGAAACATGGTGAAACCATTGTTTGTTGGTACTTACAGGGGGAATCATCATTCCCAGGGTTCTTCGGCGGTGCGAAATGGACTTCGCAACCCCCAGAAAAGCAATTCACCTCAAAACTTGAGGATCCGTTTTTCCCATCACTTCGGCCATCCCCAGAAAAGTGTTCCCCCAAAATGAAGATCCACCACTTGGCAAAACCCTTTTGTGAGTTGCCACCTGTGGGCACCGCGTCCAGTGAACCCAGGGTGCCCGGGCTGATCCCGGGGCCCGCCCGCGGCCTTGCCGCAGGCGCTCGGCCTCAGTGCGGCTCGCGGCTCGCTTCGATTGGGGGGGGTCGGTTGGGGGTCGGATGGGGTTTTCAGATTTTGAGGTTCTCGTGTACTTCCATTTGCTTAAGCCCCCTGGAGAAAAAAAAACAAAAACGATTTTCAGTAGTGATGGAGTTCCTTTTAAACCCAGCAAGGGAAAGAACAAACACTCTTAAGCAAATGGAAGTTTACGATGGGTGTTGAAGGATGGGTTTGGAAGGTTCCCCTTTTAGGATGGGTTTTGACTCGCACATTTGTGTTGGCACCCTTTGAAAGGCAGTGTTCAAAGGCAAACCAAAGGAAAGCCCTAACGTACCCAAACAAGTGTTCAAATATCTTTGTTGTTCATCATCTTACAAAGACGTAGGAGGCGTTCCAAACGTCGACCCAGCAGCTAGCAGCTTCACTCTAATTGCTTCGCTCTAGTTGGTGGTTTGGATTGATGGTTCAGACCAATCCTGGCGGATCGATGCGGGTGTGGTTCAAGTGTGGGATCCTCTCGTAAATGGAACACCCCCTATTCATCCCAGGTCAACATTTCCGAACCCATACGCAAAGCTTGCCCACATTTGGAGATGTTCATACCCAGTGGATCCCAGTTACCACTAATACTAGGTAACCAGCTATGCTTCTTTTGGTTTATATATATATATATCTAGTGGCAAGCTGTGGTTACCTACGAAATCAGGTAAACTGATCCAATGGGATAGGTGTTCCGCCACTCGCAGGGTTGCTCGATTCGAGCCGTTCCCAAAATGACATCGACCTTCGAGGCAGAAAATTGGTGAAAACTCGCAAGCCAGCCAGTGGAGTGACATGTGCTGGTTAAACCTGCAAATGGTCATTACCCGATCAGGGTTTGTTCAGGGTTCCCATTTACCTACCTACCAACCCACCAACCCACCAACCCACCAACCAACCAACCCACCCACCCACCCACCCACCCACCCACCAACCCACCCACCCACCCACCCACCCACCCCCGAACCCACTTGCGCTCTTTTTATTTCCAGGGAAAGCGCCCCTCCAGGCCCAGCTCCGCCTTGTGGAATGCTGGTGCGAGGTCTGTCCAAGACGTTCTGCCGGAATGGAAATATGCGTGTTCAATATTCCCGACAAAGGCCCCCCATGTTGACCATGGCGAACTTGTCCCATGAAGGTTGACATATCAGGAATCGTCCTCCTGGTTTTTCCAGCCAATGGTCCCACGTCAAAAATGGACCTAAGCCGAAACCGTCAAAGTCACGCCCCAAATTTTCCCCGTGCGGTGTTCGGCCCCTGGAAAAGATGCAATGCCAGCGATCAATCCCCTTTAAACCCAACCAGGGGGCATAATTAACACATGTTCTCGAGCAAATGGAAGGCAAGAGGGAGGCCACCCCAGTCGCTGACTTGGAAAACCCCCAGCAACTGAGCCAACGATCCGAGTCCGACGGCGAGCATCTCTCCCGAGGTTTGCTGGGTGCGAGGGCTGGATGTCCAAGTTTCTGCTGCGCGATCGGTAGCTGCTGGCGCCTGGGGCATTGGATAGCGCCCGAAACCGCCCATCGACAGTTGATGCAACTATAAATAACAAGGAGCAAAGGTCAGGTAAGAGGGGTCGCGATTGAAGTACCCACGCAAAAAGTTAAAATAAACATATTTGCCTGAGTGGACTTCTAAAGTGATGGACAGGCTGTCCTCAAATACGGTCGCAAAGGCTTTTCTATGGGCTGTACTATTCGCCCCTATGATAGCCAGCGAGGGACTTGGGCGCCGCTCATCTAACATGAAAACTTTGTCGAGCGACTGCAATTTCCTATTGGTGATTTGGTAAGTACACCCAACCCCGCTTCCTGAGTGGATAGCCCAAAATGTCCAAACTTTTGGTTTACCACTACAGTGGTCTTCCCAAAAAAGTTTCAGGAACTCAGGGAGTGGGCCGATGTTGTTCTCTTTCCCGAGTGGATTGGCCAACGAAGTCCAAACTTGGGCGTGGTACCCCCAACCTCATGCGGGGGCCTGTGGTTTCTTCGATGGTATGGGGTTTGAACAGAATTCAACGGGGTTCCCTTTGGTTCCCCCCAAACATCACCAAGGGAAACTCGCCTCAAATGGGTCAAAGATGACGTTTCAAACCAACAAAGACAAATCAATGGACCCCGGCAAAGTGTGGAAAAAGATAACTAAACTGCCAGCGGGGCTCCCTCGAGAATCAAGCAACAGGCAAACCCAAAACATACACAGTCCAGCCGGGCGCTTCAGGACTGAGGTCCTCCCGCTACAAACTAAGCCAGGAAGTGAAGCGCCAAACCGCGCCCACGAGCGGTGAGCGTTTTGCCCTGCGCTGGTTTCGTTCGGGCGAAATACGCCGTGGTCTAGTTGCGGTGGTCTGCCTTGGTCGGCCTCGGGGGCGCTCAGGTTGCATCATTTACAAAACTGGGTTTTAGTACAAACGCATGTGTATGTATACATATATATGTATATATGCATATCCATCTGAGTGTGGCCAGAAAAAGTTTACAGTCCTTGAAGCAAAGGATGAAGACACCTCCCTGGAACTTTGCCAAAGCGGAGCGATTCCATCTCGCTGTGTAACCAAAGCTAAGAGGACCGCAGTTTTAAAAAACCTAAAAGGGGCCATTTGTCGGTTACCTATCTGGGCCAGACTTGGACCCTCCTGCAAAAAGAATGGGACAACTGTTTGCTGGTTGAAAGGGGAAATGATGCAAATCAAAATTGCAAAAGGTTGAAAAAGGAAACGGCAAGGTAAGTCTGCTATTGTCTGGTCGCAACTGGGATCTTCGTGAAGCCTCCTTCCCCGGAACTTCACAAAGGATGTGTGCGAGAGGGCAACCTGGAGATCTTCATCGTCCGTGGTGCACAAACAACCCTTAAGAACAGGGAACCCGGGTTGGTTGGCTGATACCATTCTAGTGGGAGACTCCAAAACGCAACAAGAGATTTTAGGGGGCTGCCACCAACTCTGTCCAACAATCATGTGCAGATGCTGCCTCATATTGGGTCTGGCTCTAAGAAGCATTACCAAAAAAACAAAAGGGACAAACAAAAACAAAGAGAAAAGAACACAACAAACAAACAAGACAGAGACCCCCAGAAGAAAAAAAACTGGCGTCCCGTTCTTTCTGTTTCGGGCTGCCGGGCAGGTCGCCGAGCACTCCGTCCAAGAGCCCCAGGCCTATGAAGAGGCCCCGGCGGATTTTTGTTCGCTACCCAAAAAATGGCAGGGGCCCAGTGGATATGGCTATGGGTCAAAAATAGGTAATTACCCTAAATGGAGCCCTGGTAAATGGAATCAAGGACTAAAACCTGCGGTCCATATCCTGGTTGAATTTTGACCCATAAAAACAGCAAAAAACCTGTCCCGGGACCCTCACCGAAAAAAGGCCCCGCGACCCCGGGACCACGAGGCCCAACTTCTCGGGGCCCAAAACCATCGGTGGGTCGGACCAGTGGATGTCCATGGGAAACGGCGCGCCCTTTGTTTGGTTCCAACTCACAAAATCCCCGAACCAAAGGACAGAGGCCAAAATCGCGAGGGGAATGCGGGTGGAGCTCAAGGCCCCGTTTCGGGATTCCGAGCATTGAGGGTTGGGTGGGGTCCCTTCGGCTGTGGGGTTTGGACTCCGAACAAACATGAGCCGCCGCTCATGTTGCGGGCTCCAGAGGTGTGGCTCAAGATTCAGAAGCGGGGGCAAGGCGCGGGTTTTGGTCTTTGGCTCCATTTGCCAAGGTGCCATTTACATCTTTGGGGCCGCGGCCAATTCTGCAAGTCCGCCAAAACTTAGGCACCAAATTCTTGGAACAAGAAGTTCTGGGGGCATGAGATTGGGCCAGCTTCGCCCAAACCGAAAGCCCCTAGCCGCACTCGCGGCAAATGCCACATGGACTTGAGGGATGCCGTCGCGGAGAAAAAACGCGGCGCCCAGGACTTTGGGACTTGGCCATTTGATCTTTGTTTCCTCTCCCGACTTGAGGGGAGGGTGTCCCAAAGGACCCGGAAGAGGCACATTCGCACGGTTTTTGTTGGAGACTTCGAACAGATCCAAACACGTCTCTGCTTTTGGCTCTGTTGTGGGGGCGCCAACAGACCCATAAAAGTTGCTTTTGTTTCTCTCTTCTTGGTTGGGATGTTCTAGCGCTGTTCCTAGGAGACGCCCTCTGCATATATGTAGTAAAGGATCGCTGCTGCCTTTCAAGTGTCGGCAAGTATCTGCAGAGTCTCGACAGCATCCAATCGAACTCTGTTCTCCCTTTATTCTGGATATGATCACGATCCCCGCCTACTCAAACTTCGATGTATCGTCACACAACATGCAGATGGGCTGCAAAATAACCGCAGCCAACACACACACACACACCCACCCACCCACCCACGCACGCACGCACGCACGCACGCACGCACGCACGCACGCACGCACGCACGCACGCACGCACGCACGCACGCACGCACGCACGCACGCACGCACGCACGCACGCACGCACGCACGCACACTTCGGTAAACTGTCTCCTCCAAATCGCCGGACAATCGGGCGAGCCAAACATTCCCCGCCTCCCCACAAAAAAGGAACACCAAGCTAACCTCAGGGCCTAAATGATTAGACTGGGCTTACGGAATACTTCAAAGCCTTACACAGTGATCACAGGGGAAGAATCTGAAAGGACATGTTTTCGCTCCTGATACTAAGCAACTTGGTTGGATCGCCGAAGCTAGCGTGGGACCTGAACCAGACCGTTTAGGACTCACCGCAAGGAGCAACACCAACCCACATTTAAATCCCGAAACAAGGTATCCAACAATTCAGGATCGACATCATGGCTTGCGCTTGTTTCACCACAGCTTCGGCGAAATCGCTTGCCATATGAGCCATGAACAGTATTACTTGAAGTTGGTTCAATTGGGCAGGCCCCCTAATCTTTGTGTGATGGCAATGAATCTTGATAAGGACCCTGGGAACCACATCCAACGTGGTTGGTGGACATGAATCCCCACCTACATGATGTCAAAAGAGAAAGGGTCCGCATGAAACATTCACACCCAGACTGAAGATGTTGCTACTGGCTTGCTGTTTTCTATTGGATGGCAAGCATTGAGGCTAGAGGAATTAGTCTTGACCTCATTGGAAAAATGATCTTTGATATGGGGGGGGTTGTCCAAACAATGGGGTACATTGGTTAAGCCCCACGTGCCCCTCGAAATTTGCAACAGACCAGTTATAATGTCCATCAGGGTTCCACTTTTTTGACTACCCCAAGAGCAGACTTCAACTTCACTCCCACCCAGGGGTTGATTTCGCTGGGGAACCAGTGGAACCCTGATGTCCAGCTCATAGACACTTTGAGCCTCCCTGCGCCCCACTGGCCGTCCACGCAGCCCTGACCGCAAGGCCTCGGACGGAAAACCAACCCCGCGCCTCTCAAGAAGGGCCGTTCTTTCCGCGCGGTTTGGATGCTCTGGGGTGAAAAACCTGAAGGGCTTCGAATCCCTGCGCCAATCCAAACCACCGAGGCTTCCTCGAGGTCCACTGTGCAAAACCACCCGAATCGTGGCAAGCTCAGGAGCAAACCAGAGCGCTCCGGTACCCAATCACGTTCAGAAATGCAGACCATACAACCTCTCCTACCACCACCGCCCCCTCCCACCCACCCACCCACCCACCCACCCACCCAGCACACCTCCCGTTTTGGTGCCTCTTAGTCTTCCAGCTGCTTGTTTGCGTGGCTGGTTCTTGCGTCGCTTTGCCGCCAAGCGAGCGCTCAAAACAGAGCCACGAAAACTGGGCACAGAGCAGAGCTTTCCCGCCACCCATCCTTCTTATGTTTGGTAGGAAACTTAGTGAACTGATGCCTTGTGCAACTACAGGAACCCTGCTGTGGATGGACGAAATCCATTTCGCACCACGCAAGAAACCATGGAGTGATGATTTCCCTGCAAATTCCGACAAAGAATGGTTTCCCCATGGTTTCAAACTGGTGAGGAGTTCGTCCCTCCACAGTATGAAGAAAGTGGGCTAAAACGCAATTTGCAAATACCCCCCGCAGCACAATATGCAATTGCCCCCCAGCCCGGCTTGCCAAAGACTCCGGAAAATACGCCACCCAACTTGGGTGGAGTTGGTCGCCTTTTGCCTGTGAGACTTGAGCAATCAACTGAGTCCTTCATTCAAGAACAGTCCTTTATATCCAAATATGCCAGTAGAACATAAATTCGCATGGTCAAAACCTGAAACAAGACATGGCTATGTCAGTTTGTCTGGCTTTGAGGGCACCGTGGTCTTTTTCATTTAAAGGAACCCCAAAGCAAAATCCGGGTCCAACCTCAAAACCGACAAGCCCGAAGATCCGGATCACCTGGGCCTTTGGCTGAGTGTTGCAGGGGAAGGCCTCCTCCATCGCCTCGCGAAACTGGGAATTTCCGCTCCCGTCGAGCGTCCGGAGAAGTGGCAACCCACGGAAAATGCGCTCCCGTTGATGCCGGATTAATAAACCCTTGTTGATGAATAGGGGGGTGGGGATTCATCACTTTTGGAGGGAACGCCCCTCTAATGATGGGACGGGTTGATAGATTGGTAACCCACCTACTCCATAGACAAGCGCGCATCATGACATTACCACGTCACTCAGCATCACCAGCACCAGCATCATCCACAAGGGCTACGCTTATGTGGCTTCGTGCTGTGCGTGGTGTTTCCCATCAATCCACACCGCTCGCTCGTAGGTGTTGGATGGCTTGAAACTCCAAAAAGCCGAACAGAACTAAAACAACCCAGGGAGGATTCAAGCCTCCAAGAGTTGGCTTGGCGCACCACGGTGCACAAAAGCGACGCCACTTCCCATGGGCAACTGGGTCAGCTGACCCTCGACAAGAACTTGCTTTTTTAGAACTGCTATAATAATTGTGACAGTCCCTTTGGCGAAAATTCATTGCCCTATGAACCCGTTTAATGCCTAACCACCGAGTCAGCTGCCCTCTTACTCTCCCTGCGCGACTTAAATGTTCCACATTGTGCCCCTATCGGCTGAAGACATGATCTTTGACCCATTGAAATGATTGCAGAAAAGCCACTGGAGCAAAAATCAAAGGGGACTCTTGATCCTGGGTCAAAATTGTCAGCCAAAAGGCCAGTGCAATAAGGAAGTCGCCAAAAAGCTTTCGGTATTCCTTCGGTCAGGTTCAAAAGACTAACACCGCGGTCTGGTTTCGGTGTGGATCAGGCTTTAAAACAGCGGAAAACGAAAGAAGCAAATATGGGTGTGTTCTTGAAGGGTACCTCTTTTTTGTGGCTATAAACGGGAAACCGATAGAAAAAGCACCCGCCATTCTGGAGAATCCAACCTAAAAGAAACACACCCATATCGGTGAGTTCTTGCCTATTTGGGGGGGTGTTTGTGTGCTGTACACCAAGCCCTAGGTTGCAGAGCAAACCAGATCCTGTTTTGAGGATCCACCCATTTGAAAAACAACTAACCCGGACCGCCAGTTGCGGCAAAAAGGGCACAACTGGTCTTAGCTTGGCTGATCTAGGGGAACGTTCGCAAACATTATCCTCAAAAACTACCATGTCCTCGCGGACGGAACTCCTGGTAGCTCCGTTGCTCCCTGTTTAAAGCCCAAGGGCTCCTCGGGTTCCCTAAAAATCCTTAGGCTTCCTCAAAAAACCTTCGCCAACCCACCCGAAAAAACTCAGGAATTGCCGGCAGGTCGTTGCTGGTAGCAGATCGCGCCTGGGGTTGGCAGGAGGCGCCCCCGTTGCGCGGGGCTTCCATCACCGCCTCACGACGCTTCGACTTGGGCCAACCCATGGGCCTGGACAAAAACCTGCGATCGGCGGCGAAATCGGTGGCGAAATCGGTGGAATGAACCCAGTGGCTTTTTTCTCCCCGAAAGGAAACCACTTGGATGGGTTTTCTTGGGGCCATTCCAACTCATTGCCGGCTTCCAGATCGCACCAGCAAGAAAATCATGTGTTGCAAATGTGCCTTATTGTCGGGGACCCCTCCACACTGTGGGTGTTCTTGCTGGGTGTCCCTTAACAAATAAGCTCAGGTGATATCCCCAACAGCACTTGGTGCTCTGTTTAGTGCTCGCACCACCCCGCAGCCCTCGCAGAACCTCGTGGAACCCTGGTGGAACTCTGGTGGAACCCTCGCGGAACCTTACCTCAGGGCCGCCCCGGACCACCCCGCAGCCTATCTGGGCTGAGACCCCAAATCTTTCAGCTGTTGGGGGAAAAAAACTATTAAAAACAAGCTCAGGTGATATCCCCAACAGCATGCCGTGCCTTTTTAGTGCTCGCGCCACCCCGCAGCCCTCGCAGAACCTCGTGGAACCCCGGTGGAACCCTGGTGGAACCTGGAACCCTCGTGGAACCTTACCTCAGGGCCGCCCCGAACCACCCCGGAGCCTATCTGGGCTGAGACCCCAAAGCTTTCAGCTGTTGGGGAAAAAAAGAAAAAGAAAGAAGGAACAAAAACGAGCTTCCTGTAAACAAAAAGACAGACCCATATCCAAAACTGTCCCAAACTGTCCCAAACTGTCCCAAACTGTCCCAAACTGTCCCAAACTGCCCCAAACTGTCCTAAACTGTCCGCAATATCCAAATGGGTCCTAGAAGCTTTTAGGTGCTTTCCACCTCCCCAAACCACCGGCACCCCAACAACTGGCTCCTTCTCCGGAAAAAATGAGAAAAAAACCGCCGAGACTTGGCCCCCACACCCGGGTCCGGCGCTTGGTGCCGCCGCCGCACTCGCAGGAGCAGTCGGACCAGGAGGCCCTCAGCTCGGCTTTTTTCGCGCAAACCAAGCCTACAACGCTTGGCCCATGAAACAGAGATAAACCAACCCAGCCTCAGCTTCCAAGAGTCTTGGTGGTTTGGATGTGGGTTGAAATTTGAACACCAGTTCCTTTTGTTAGCCCCTAACCGCCCATTCGGGGGAAGCTGAAACCCTTGTTACAGGAAACCAACCAACCCTTGGCACACAGAAAAGTGTTCATTATTTCCAGTTGGAGGGGAAGCCTCTGTTCGTAAAGGGTTTTGAATGAAAAGCAAGAGGAAAGAAATCCGAAGCCATGTTGGGGGCTTCTAAAGACACACCCATACCTAGTCTACCCTAAAGTATGCAAAACAGCCTTGGACTAGCCTTTGACGGACAAATCCGGCAGTAGGTAGTTTAACCCCAGTGTTTTGGAACTGGTCAAGGGCTCGACATTCATGCTACACGGAGGCACCACAAATTGAGAGGCTTGGGCCACACGATAACTATTCGTATCCCTGCACAAAATGGCTGAATAGGGGCTTGACACCGACTGCCTTTTTGTTCCATTCCTGGATGTTGATGCTATCCCAGGGCCTAGCTTTTGGTAGAGGCCAACCAAGAACTCGCGATGATACCCAGCACCGTCTCGTGATCAACCTTCAGGATTGCAAGATCCGAGACGTGGATTTCTGGTGAGGAATGGAGTCCTTGCCGTTGGAAAGGTGGGCACGACAAGAGGTGCACAGGAAGCGCGACGTGGCCGCTGTCAAGGACGCGCTGGCAACGAACATGATCGTGCCTTCACATCCCCGACTTCCCTTGGCCCAACCCACAGCTGCCACCCTTTGCGCGCGTCTTTGCTGTCGGATGGCTTGGAGCAGCCGCTTTGGCAGCATCACACCCGAACGTCATTGGAAAGCTTTGATGTGGGCTGACGAATCGACCCTCCAAGGATTCGTGGGGTACACCCTGGGATTACACCCTTGGGAAATGACCCAGAATGATGCAAACTAACACGGTGGTATCCGGAAATGTGCCTAAATGGGTCAATACCCAGCAGGTGTATTCCCAGGGCGTAATACCAAAAGCCCGTAGAAATGTCGAGCCCAAATGAGTCAACCTGGTCTTATCGATAAGGCGTGCGGGGGCTCTCTGTGAAACGGGCTGCGCCCCGCAATCAAAGTCAACTTTGGTTTTATCATAGTTCTAAGGGTGGTTTCCTTTTAAGGGAATCCCAACAACAGTTCATTCAACCATATTCACTACCACTCGCACCAGCAAGTCTTCTAGGGGTTGATTCCTTATCCATACTTCGAACGTTTTTTTTTTTCATCTAGCAAGTCCTTCCTAACCTTCCTAACCTAACCTTGGTTGATTCCTTTCGAACGGTTGTCCATTTCTCGGAAGTCTTAAAAGCGAGATCTCGAGCACCGGAGCCGTTTCCCTGGGCCTCAATGAAGGTCCGGGGTTCAGAAGGGGGGAGCTGGCCCTAGTGGGGGTCCCGTCGCGGCTAAGACAAATACAGCGGTTGCTAGATAGGTGACATAGATGCGCACATAGATACATGACACGGATAAAACATAAAACCAACAAATGATTGAACCAACAAATACAAGAATGAAGATAAGCATGCAAACATGAACAATAAATACCGGAAAGGAAGATAGGTGATATATTCTTCATTCAGCGGCTAACACTTCTTGTCGCGCATCTGCTTTTTCCATGAGGGCGTGGGTACCCTCTTTGCGTGGCAAATGGCAACCAAAGGCAGGACCTCCCTTCCGATGGTGGGTAGGGTGACTGCATCTTTCCGCTGTGAGAGCTTGGGGATCTCTGAAACGCATGGGTTTTTTTTGTTTTTTTCCATACCGGACATGGGCACCGAAGGGGCCTCAGGAATACACCAAATCGATGCATTCAGAAACGGCCCACATCTTCCAGAGAAGGTCGTATCTGTTCACGCTGTTCATGTTTCGTCTGCCCCTCTGTAACAAGTTGAGCACCTTTCATGGGTATGGAAGACTCGAAGTATCAGCCAAAAGGCTAAAGTCCTAAGATCCGCTACCAAATGGCCATTGAGTTAAGAAGGCAAGGCACTTAAGTGTTTAGTAAACGGTCAAGACCCAAATGGGCATATGTCAAAACTAAATCACCCGATATGGACCGCAGGCTTTAGTCTTTGGTTCCATTTACCAGGGCAATCCGTTTTGGGGTTACCCTATGCTTGACCACCACAGCCAAATCGTCCCAAAGGAACCCTCCAGAACGGACGCACCCACTTCCTGGTTTCGAGAATGAGCTGACATCAAGTCAAAAGCATAGAGGTACTTTGGGTCCCATTCAACTCGAAACATGGCCATGGGTCAAAATCCCGTACTTCCAGTGAACATCCCAATCCCCACGAAAAAGTCAGCCTAAAATGCGTGGTGCACCTACCCCAAAATGGGATCCCGTTGGTTTTGACCCACAGCCACATCTCCGAAACATTCATGTGTGTCCCTTTTGGAAACATAGATGGCCCTGGTCAAAGGAATCAAACCTAAACCAGTGCCGTCTATTTCTAGCCAAAATCACCTAAAAAGGGCAGCTATGCAAACATCGAAGTCCACCGCTCGAAAAGTCTTCGAGTCTCCGTGCCACTCTCCCCAGCGGCAGTCCACAATGTTGCACTGGCCCACCCTAACGACTCGAGCTCACGGACGGGCCGGGGGTGCAAAAAGACCACAAAGGTTCCGGGGGGGCTGCTTGGGGAAATGTGGGTTCTCAAGTTTTGGGACCTGGTTTCGTATGGTTTCCTTTCACCATCCAACAAAGCTCTGTTTTGAGACCATTGGGGCCCTTACCATAGCCGATTTTGGAGGTTTGATGGCCATACAGATGTACATATGTATATATATATATATAGATACAAAATGATACGTTAGTGTAGACGATATTCGGGTTTGTCTTTTTTGAGGCTCGCCCGTGTGGAGGTTGGTTGCGGGTTGAATCTAAACAAAACCGCCCATTTCGGTCCAAATCTTTCGAGGCACACAAAGTGCTAGCTCAAGGCACCTTTGGAAACAAACGGGGAAGCTCACCTGTGGTGGTCAAACATAGGACCCCCAAATGGCTTGCCCTGGTAAATGGGACTAAGGACGAAAGCCTGTTTTTTGGGTGTTTTAATTTTGACCCATACCCACCTCGTTTTGGGAAAGCCGTCGCTCAAAACATGACAGATCCGCACAAAGGACATGGGAGAATTGCTTTTACGCGACTGGTTCAGAGAAACGAGCCACAGGAATGTTTACAGGGAACTGACCATCCAAATACCTGCCAAAAACAAGGATGGTCTGCAGGATGTCCAGTAGCTGGTTTCTTAGACTGCCCCCCGTGTCTATCTTAAATTGACCGTAGCTGGACACGTTGACCTCACATATCGACAAAAGTGCTGTCCTTTCACTTCCCTTTGTAACAAGGTGAAAGGGGTACTCTCCTTGTTAAAACCCGAAGTTAACGCAGTGTTGGTAAGAATTGACTTCCCCTGAACACCTCACCCCACCCAAAGGAAGCTAGGAAACTTTGGAACCCTCCCCCGAACTCTCTGATTGAAGTCTCCACGCAACCCAACCACCCACCCCAACCAAACCACCCCAACCAAGCCATCCGAACCACCCCAACCAAACCACCCCAACCACCTGAACCAAACCACCCCAACCAGCCCAACCACCCCAACCATCCCAACCACCCCCACCCACCACTCACCCCTGGCTTCTCTTCGGCAATCGGCCGAGGGACCCTTGGCAGCAAAAAAACACCGCTCGCAACCAGCCCTCCATTTTGTCACCAGACTTAGACCCAGGCAAAAACGTGGTTGCCTTTTTGGGGACATCAACCATGGGTTCAAGTCTACCTTGCCACCATTTGCTGCTTGGTCTGCTGGGCAAAATGAGAAACATCTGTCCAGCATCCCTTAAAAAGCAACAGAGGATTGCGCGTTTAAAGAAAAATACATGCTCATGTCAGTCCCAAAAAAAATCGGAACCCATGCTCACAGCTGTGACTGCTTCTGCAGTGATCAAGTGTCTGTTAAAACAAGAAATTGCGACTTGGCCATCTAGGTACCTTGGAGCCCCAAAAACATGCCATGACAGGACTCCGATAGGGCCGGCGCTGGCAGCTCTCCATCATCTTCAGCGGTCCCTCACCTCAGATTCGACGCGAGGTCTGTCGTGCGGTAACAGCACGATCTTAGTACCTACAGTCTCCATGACCCCTAGAAAAATGGGTCATGACCCCTTAATTTTGGGCAACGACCCCATTTTTTAAGGGTCATGGAGAGTCTAGGCATTCATCTTAATATCCTGACAACAATTAGGTGAATACCGAACACTCATGTTCAGCATTTTTTTTCAGAAATTGTCTTGGAAAAATCCAAAAAATGTCCGTTTCCCAGTGGGCCACAAAGGGCTCGAAAGGGACGTCATTTTCCTTGGTGCGATAGGTAGAGAATGAACCCAATTCCGTCAAAGGAAACCATAGCATAGATGGTGGTTAGGCGTTATTGCGCTGAGAACAGCAAGTTGCGACGGTCGAGAGATTCGGCTCCACTTGAAACCGATGGCTTTCATTGGTCACCCTTGCTGTCTAGGGGATGCGTGGAGTGGGGGCGGGTTCTTTCCTGTCACTCCAGGGGAAAGAGGGAAGGGTCTTCGAAAGGGCGGTCTGGCTTCATGAGGCCCTTAAAATGGAAGCGAGGAAAGCCCACATGAAGCCCACCCCACATCTTAAGACCAAGCTTCCAAGATTTCGTCTGAGAACAGCACGCTTAAAGGCAACTCTTTGAATTGGCAACCAAACGAGGGGCATGGTTTTCAAACACCAAAGAACAAACAGCGGCCAGTTTTGGGTCTCTGAATCTGGGACAAGCACATGTAAGCACGGTTGTGGAGGAAAGTCCCTTAGTATCACGGAAAGTAGTCTTAAAATCCAACTCTAGGCAACTGTGAATACATCTAAATGATGATTGTCTCAAATGGGGCGGCGTTTTCAGGGAAGCCCATTTTGGTTGGTAAGGGGAAGGAAACCAAAAGGAAAATCGAACTCCATCTTTGGGGTTCCATAATTCTAAGACACCCTGTCAAAATAGAGCATGAATTTCGGCGTTGCTTTTGGTGCCCCTTTAAACCACACCCCAAAACGGGGCATCAAACAGATGCATTTGTGTCTTGGGTGCAACGAGCCGATCAGTTTTCTAGCAAAACCCTTAGTACAAACCGACCATGCCCTCGAAAATTTCACCAAGCGAAGGAGGGGATAAGCCGAGGTGAAGAGCCCTCTCACTTCCGATCGAGTGGGCTGCCCCCCCAAAAAAGTCTGAACTTTTTTTGCTTGCTGCTCACATGCTCTTCCCAAAAAGTGTTTGTAAAGTCCAAGAACTCAGGCAGTGAGCCTCTGCGCCCGTGGATCGGCGCTGCCGATCCTAACGGCCGGCCCTCCCAAACGGCCCGCTGGGCACGGCGGCAAGAGTGGCCCCCTGCCAGAGCCTCGGAGATGACTCTCCGCTCCCTGCGGGTCGTCGGGTCGTCGGGTCGTCGGCGGGAGCTATAAGGGTGGTTCCCCGTGATCATCACCAAATATGGGGATTTTTTGAAGTACCCCACAACCCCATCCCCATGTTGTTGTTCTTGGGGCGGGAAGCCCCCGCCCCCTTTTGGAGTTGGTGTTGAACGGGGTTGAAAGGCCAAGAGGAAACCAGCCATTGCTCTTAACCAGGGTTGCGGAAATGGAATCCACGAATCTGTGATACAACAAAAAGGGCCTCCTTTTTGACTAACACCCCATACTGGGCAGATCCCCAAAAGTGTCACAGTGGCAAGATAAAAACCCCGAGTGATTCCACAACGGTTTTTTGTTGTTGTGGAGACGCCAAACTCGCGAAACGAAACTTGAAGATTCAGGGAAGAGGATCACATTCCCGCTGGTGGCATAGGGAACCCAACATGAGGGTCTGCCATCTTTCACCCAGGCACCCCACTTCACCCACGCAAAAAACGGGTGAGTCCAAACTCATCGGGTGAAATGGAAACCCAACCACTAATCCCCTCCCCCCCCCAAAAAAAAAAAAACACACCCAAGAAACTGGAGAATTCGCTGAACCGAACCAAGAACCCACTGGAACCCCAGCCTGGCCCAAGTGGCCCAGGCCCCTTGGGACACCGAGCCCGGGATCTCTTGACTCTGACGGCTGATACATTGCTTATATGGCAATCCAAGGATGCGAACGGCTGAAAAAATATCGCAGCACATATGGCAGTGGCTCAAAAAACCGGTACCAACATGGAACCCTGGTAAGTGGACACGTGGACCAAAACCTGTGTAACCCCAGCTCTTGAATTTTGAGCCACAGCACATATGGATGTGTGCAAGAACAGTGAGGTTGGTTTCAAAGGGACATCCGGTCCAAAGGACTCCAAACAGGAAGAAAGGTGTGGCTCAAAATTAAACAGCAGGGGTTACGCAGGTTGAAAGGCCTTTGTTTCCACTGACCAGGGTAACCCACTTTGGAATTCCGGTTTTTTGAGCACAGCCAGAAAGGTTACTGCTGCAGCTCTGAGCATTGAACGCCTGGATCGCGCTCGAAATCGCGCTAGAATTTCCCTTCGGCCTGGTCTTGGAGCCAGCCCCGCAGCGAGCGGTGCAGGGAGACCATTCGTCCCACATGGACCTGGATCCGGTTGGAAGTCCCGGTGTGATAAACAACGAAGTGACTACGGTGGATGGACGAAATCCATTTCGCACCACTTTGAAGCCATGCGGAAAGTATGGTTTGTTGGTATTTGGAAGAGAATCATCATTTCATGGTTTCTTAGGTGGTGTAGGATTTCGTCCATCCACAGTATTGGCTGTGGCTCAAAACTTGGAATCCACAAAATGCAGAAAAAACGAGAAAAAAAACTGCGGTTTGCCCTAGCTCTTTCATTTTGAGCCAAAGCCAATTGGTCTTTTGGGGTTTCTGGGCGTAGAGATTTACAGGTATTTGTATGGTGTTTTGGGGTGCTTGGCGCGCAAACACATTGCAGCAAATCTGTCTCAAAACAGCAGGGGTCGCTGGGTCTGCCTTCGAACATTCCAGGGTTCCAGTTCAAAATGAAAAGCTGTCGAAGAGCCCAGCAGGAATGACCCCAAAAGCGGTTTGTTTTCCTTTGCCGCTCGTCGCCCCGCAAAACCTTCTGCCAAACGCTCGCAATGCTTCCCAGCATGGAAACAGGAAAATACGCAAATCCTTCGGTGTGTTTCCAAGTGCGAGATGCTAGTGCCAAGAAATGGCCGTGTGTGTGTGTGTGTCTCTGTCTCTGTGTCTCGGTGTCCCTGTGTCTCTGCGTCTCTGTGTCTCTGTGTCTCTGTGTCTCTGTGTCTCTGTGTCTCTGTGTCTCTGTGCCTCTGTGTCTCTGTGTCTCTGTGTCTGTCTGTCCGTGTGTCTGTGTGTCTGTGCGTCTGCGTGTCTGTCTGTTTGCCTGTCTGTGCGTTTGCGTGTCTGTCTGTGTGTCTGTCTGCGTGTCTGTCTGTGTGTGTGTGTCTGTCTCTGTGTGTGTGTGTCTGTGTGTCTGTGAGTCTGTGTGAGTGTGTGTTTTGGAGTTGGTCCCCTCTCCAGATTGGTTAAAAATGGAAACCATGAGAAAAACACAATTGTCTGTTTCCCCTAGGTTGACACCGCCGGTGCGTAAATTAGGTTCGAGTTGAAGGAGAACCAAGGGAAACCAATCAGTTTGTTGCACGTCCCTTCAAAACCAAAAGCTGGAAAAAGAAAAATCACCAGTTCAGCCAATTACGGGCGAATTATAACATTTCACCCACCTTAAATACGGGAACCCCCAGAAACAAGAAACTAGACGACGAGTGGCCCGGAAGCATAGAGGCAAGTTGATGCAGGTGAGGTAACTCTCGCAAAGTTAGCATGAGGAGTTGGCAGGCGAAGCAATTCTCAAAAAGTTGGCATGAGAAGCTGGCAGGTTAAGTAACTCTCGAATAGTTGGCTGGCAAAGTTGGCGGGTGAAGTAATTCTCGCAAGTTGACATGAGAAGTTGGCAGGCGAAGTAACTCAAGAGAAAAGTTGGCATGAGAAGTTGGCAGGTAAAATAACTCTCAAAGAGTTGGCATGAGAAGTTGGCAGGTGAAGTAACTCTCGAAAGTTGGCGTGAGAAGCTGGCAGGTGAAGTAATTCTCGAAAAGTTGGCACGAGAAGATGGCGCGTGAAGTAACTCTCGAAAAGTTGGCGTGAGAAGCCGGCAGGTGAAGTAACTTTCGAAAAGTTAGCATGAGAAGTTGGCAGGCGAAGTAATTCTCGAAAAGTTGGCGCGAGAAGTTGGCAGGCGAAGTAACTCTCGAAAAGTTGGCAGGCGATGTTGGCAGGTGAAGTACCTCTCGAAAAGTTGGCATGAGAAGCTGGCAGGTGAAGTAATTTTTCGAAAAGTTGCCACGAGAGGTTGGCAGATAAAGTATTTCTCGAAAAGTTGGCATGAGAAGTTGGCAGGTGAAGTAATTCTCGAAAAGTTGGCAGGTGAAGTTGCCACGAGAGGTTGGCAGGTAAAGTATTTCTCGAAAAGTTGGCATGAGAAGTTGGCAGGTAAAGTAATTCTCGAAAAGTTGGCATGAGAAGCTCGCAGGTGTAGTAACTCTCGAAAAGTTGGCATGATAAGCTCGCAGGTGAAGTAACTCCTCGAAAAGTTGGCACGAGAAGTTGGCAGGTGAAGTAACTCTCGAAAAGGTGGCATGAGAAGCTGGCAGGTGAAGTAATTCTCGAAGTTTCGGCATGAGAAACTGGCAGGTGAAGTAATTAACCCTCAAAAAGCTGGAGCGGCGGAGGCGCTCCGCGTGCTACATTTGCAATTTACAGTTGCGATTTTCCAGCCATTTGTATCTAAAAGTTGCGATTTTCCAGCCGGAGCTGCGGGAGCACGCTCCGCGTACTACGTCTGTACTTAAAAAGTGCGATTTTCCAGCCGGAGCTGCAGCAGCCTCCGCGTACTACGTCTGTACTTAAAAGTTGCGATTTTCCAGCCGGAGCTGCAGGAGCACGCTCCGCGTACTACGTTTGTACTTAAAAGCTGCGATTTTCAAGCCGGAGCTGCCGCGGACCAGGGGGGAATCGAACCCGGGACCGCGGGATTGCGAAAGCAGCGCGCACACCACGAGACAACTTCCAAAAGCCGTTTCGCGAGCAAGAAAATCGCACGGCGCCACAGCGAGAGCGCTTCGACACGCACGATCTCCGCAGAGGGTTTCGCACGGCGCCACAGCGGCGCGCGAGCAAGACAAATTCGCACACGCACAAGACGCACGGGTTGTCAAAATTCGGCTCAGCACAGCGCGCACGCACGATCTCCGCAGAGGGGTGCGTTTCGTAAGCTCCCGTCGGGCCTACCCCCGCCATAAAAAGAAGAAGAATTAAGAGTCGAGATGTGAAGGTAGAACAGAAAAGTTAGCTTGTGTTTTTAGGATAGTGAAGTAACACCCGACAAATTAGCTTGTGCTTTTAGTAGAATGAGATAACAGCCGAAAAGTTGACATGAGAAGTTGGCAGGTGAAGTAACTCTCAAAAAGTTGACATGAGAAGTAGGCAGGTGAAGTAACTCTCGACAAGTTGGCATGAGAAGTTGGCAGGTGAAGTAACTCTCGACAAGTTGGCATGAGAAGTTGGCAGGTGAAGTAACTCTCGACAAGTTGGCATGAGAAGTTGGCAGGTGAAGTTGGCAGCCGCTTTTAGAAGAAGAACCCTTCGCAATGCTTCCGGGAAAAGAAACAAACCCATCATCAAGCTTCACTTTGCCCAGAGACCTCCGACTGTGCAAAATCCGACTTCGGGGATTGCTGCAATTTGCCCAAACGAAATGATAATTATTCAACCCCACTCCCCCACCCCACACGAAAAATCGCAATCTGGACCGTCCAAAAAAATAATACTGCGGATGGACGAAATTTTGCACCTAAGAAACCCTGGAATGGTTCGATTGCTCAACGCAAATACAAACAAACAATGGCTTCAACGGAAGCTCCCAGAAGGCCTCTGGAAATGGAACTTCCATGTTAGTCTGGGGGAGGGTAAAGTTTTCCAACTCAACCAGTAAGTTTGTATAGCCTAATAAGATATGAAATAGGTTTGCAAACCGCACTGGGGAATGGTCACCCAAGCCGTATCTGGTGGGGGATAGTTTTGGGGTCTCTATTTCAGCTTTTCTTGCCAGGTTGCTAGGCGGTGTTCGGGGATTGGCTTCCTATTTACCCGAAAACAAACAGGAGTCCAAATCTCCAACCACCAATCCACCTTGCCTGACGATTTGGGCTTTCGACATGGGAGGTTTTGCACCCCACATCACCCATGCAAAGCATCATAGTCACTTTACAAGGGAAGTGCCCTTTGATTTAGGCCCATATGCTTCGCGTCTTTTCGCCCCCGTAAGGAAATCTCCGCTCAATGTTGAACCTGTCGAGAGAAAAAAACGATGGGGCTGGTAAATATTGACCAAACTGAGACCGGTGCCGTCTATTGACCAAACTCACCTGAAACGGCACCTATTCTTTAAACCATCTCCTTCGGGTGTCTGTTTACTTGGCCCACACATCTGGAGTATACCTCACTTCCTGAGTGGTTTGGCCAAAAAGCATGAACCTGTTTGTTGCCACTAAATTGGTCCTTTCGAACAAGGACAAAGTTCAGGAACTCAGGCAGTGAGATACTGAAAAGCCGTGTTTTCTGACTCCGCTCCATATTTAGTTTACCCCAAAACATGAACTGAACTATCCTCACTCACATGTATAGCTTGTGGGCGAAATGGAAACCCAACCAAAACAACTAAAAGCCACTCAACACCTCAGGGCGCGACCCTGGAACACCACTCAACACGCCGACCCGAGAGAGCTCGTGGCTCAAAGGTCCAACCTCACCGAAAAAATTCGCTCGAGGCCGCAGCATCTGGCAGTCCACGTTGCCGGAGGGGTAGCAGGCGCCTTCGGATTCGGGTCGTCCCAAAAACGCCAAGCTCTTCGAGCCAGTTGGGCGTTTCGTTTTTTTGGGGACCTCCCCCTAAAACTAATAATCATAATACCTTCCCCTAAAACTAATAATAATAGTAATGATAATACCTCCCCCTAAAACGAAGAATAATAATAATAATAATAATATATTCCCTAAAACTACTACTACTACTACTACTAATAATAATACCTCCCCCTAAAACTAATAATAATACCTTCCCCTAAAACTAATTTTAAAAAAATACCTTCCCCTAAAACTAATAATAATAGTAATAATGATACCTCCGCCTAAAACGAATAATGCTAATAATAATATCTTCCCTAAAACTACTACTAATAATAATAATACCTCCCCTAAGACTAATAATAATACCTTCCCCTAAAACTAATAATGAAAATAATACCTTCCCCTAAAACTACTAACAATAATAATACCTCCCCCTACAACGAATGACAATAATACCTTCCCCTAAAACTAATAATACCTTCCCCTAAAACTAATAATAAAAATAATACCTTCCCCTAAGACTAATAATAATGGTAATAATTCTACCTCCCCCTAAAACGAATAATGCTAATAATAATATCTTCCCTAAGACTACTAATCATAATACCTCCCCTAACACTAATAATAATACCTTCCCCTAAAACTAATAATAAAAATAATACCTTCCTAAAACTACTAACAATAATAATACCTCCCCCTAAAACGAATGACAATAATACCTTCCCCTAAAACTAATAGTGAAGAGCGAAGGAATGATCGAGTGAACGGCATGGAGGAGGTGATGTGAACCGCTATATCCCTTTCCTATTCTCTTCCTTGCACTCGCTAACTCATGCAAATCATTGACGAAGGGAAAGGACAGGAAGCAGTCAAGAGATTTCTCCAAATGCTGTCTCCAAGCCATTCTTCACTCTGTGGCACGCCTTGTCTCTAATCCTATCTCCATCATATTAACTCCTTTCCATTTCCTATTAATAATCCAATATGCTGTAAAGACTAATATAAAATGCCTTGAGGACATGAATTCATTAGACCACAGACTGTGAATGGTAATAAGAATGCTATTTTCCTTTCCTGTCGGTTATTGCTATCTCTCTCTAACCTGTCTTTCATATCCTCAGATAATTCAAGGTCGAGAGGGATATAGGTCCTGTAAGTAATTCCATCTTGGATTATTTCTGAGATTACTTCCTCAACATCTAATTCTCTTGGCCATAACCTGTCTCTTGGATTGTGAGGTGGTGACAATGAAGAAATCCCAAGATGATGAAAGAAATATAGCTTTTCCATAATCAATTTGTGTTAGGAATAACCTCCTCTTTTATTGTTAGGATTTACATGGAGATAAGGAAATAGGATCTGTAAGTAATAATAATACCCCCTTAAAACTAATAATAATAATACCTTCCCCTAAAACTAAACATAGTAATAATATTAATACAACCTCCACCCAAAACCCTAATAATTTAGTAATAATACCTCCCCCTAAAACTACTAACAATAATAATACCTCCCCCCAAAAACGAATAACAATAATACCTTCCCCCAAACCAAATAATAAGAATACCTTCCCCTAAAACTAATAATAATAATAATAATACCGTCCTCTAAAACTAATAATAATAATACCTCCACCTAATTTAGTAATAATACCTCCCCCTAAACCTAATAATAATAATAATACCTCCCCCTAAAACTTACAATAATAATACCTCCCCTTAAAACTAATAATAACAACAATACCTTCCCCTAAAACTATTAATAATAATAATACCTCCACCTAAACCTAATAATAGTAATAATAATAATATTACCTCCCATAAAACTCATAATAATAATACCTCCCCGTAAAACCAAACATAATTATAATACCTCCCCCTAAAACTAACAATAATAATGTCTCCCTTTAAAAAACTAATAATAACAACAATACCTTCCCCTAAAACTATTAATAATAATAATAATACCTCCCCCACACCTAATAATAATAATAATACCTCCAATAAAACTCATAATAATAATACCTCCCCGCAAAACCAAACATAATTATAATACCTCCCCCTAAACCTAATAATAATAATAACACCTCCAATAAAACTCATAATAATAATACCTCCCCGTAAAACAAAAAATAATTATAATACCTCCCCCTAAAACTAACAACAATAATACCTCCCCTAAAAGTTTCCATGAGATCCAATATTATTATTGTAGATCCTGAGTCTTTGCCATTGGCGGTTACATTTGGAGATTCTTTGGTGTAATAGCATGTAGGAAAGCACTTTTGGATTACAATTAAATGCTTTTAGACTGCTTTTCTATTTACATCTCTTTCCTGTTGCCCAAGAGATAGGATTTCCAAGAAATAGAAAGAGAGGAATAATCAAGAGATTTCTACCGGAAAATTCTCAATCATATGCTGTGTCTATAGGTGAGTCTTATCTTATCCCTACCATCTATCTCTTTATCTCTCATTCCTTCTTCCCTTGTCCCTCTATTCCTTCTCTCTCTTATTCTCCAGTCACTCCATTCCGTACTAATAAGACCCGAAGGTTGAGGGACGTAGAGAAAGGAATGGCCACTCTCTCATCTCTTGGTCACTACTAATAATAACAACAACACCTTCCCCTAAAACTATTGATAATAATAATAATAATACCTCCCACCAAACCTAATAATAATACATCCAATAAAACTCATAATAATAATACCTCCCCGTAAAACCAAAAATACTTATAATACCTCCCCCTAAAACTAACAATAATAATGTCTCCCTTTAAAAAACTAATAATAACAACAATACCTTCCCCTAAAACTATTAATAATAATAATAATAATACCTCCCCCCAAACCTAATAATAATAATAGCACCTGCAATAAAACTCATAATAATCATGCCTCCCCGTAAAACCAAAAATAATTATAATACCTCCCCCTAAAGCTAACAATAATAATACCCCCCCTTAAAACTAATAATAACAACAATACCTTCCCCAACAACTATTAATAATAATAATACCTCCCCGCCCCCTAAACCTAATAATAATAAATACCTCCAATAAAACTCATAGTAACAATACCTCCCCGCAAAACCAAAAATAATTATAATACCTCCCCCTAAAGCTAACAATAATAATACCCCCCCTTAAAACTAATAATAACAACAATACCTTCCCCAACAACTATTAATAATAATAATACCTCCCCGCCCCCTAAACCTAATAATAATAAATACCTCCAATAAAACTCATAGTAACAATACCTCCCCGCAAAACCAACAATAATTATAATACCTCCCCCTAAGACTAATAATAATAATAATAATAATACCTCCCCTAAAAACTAATAATAACAACAATACCTTCCCCTAAAACTATTGATAATAATAATAATACCTCCCACCAAACCTAATAATAATAACACCTCCAATAAAACTCATAATAATAATACCTCCCCGCAAAACCCAAAGTAATTATAGTACCTCCCCCCAAAACTACTAATAATAAGGGTGGGGTGTCCTTTTGGTGCTCCTTGAAGGCCACCGTTTACAAGAGGCCACACCCAGTTGAGTGACCATCGGTTGGCAGATTCGCACAAAGAAGGTGTTCCATTCGGAGTGCCCGTTTCACCCGTTGACTTTTGGCTCTAAGATCTTAGGTCATAGGCCTGGCTATGGCGCCTTTCCACTCCCACTTCACCATCATCAATTCAGTTCTAAGGAGGTACTTTGAATCCTCAACCCTCAAAGACCATTCCTTCGAGTACCAAGCGCCCTGGGGATCTTGGATCGCGGTTGATCCCAAGCTAAACAGTGCGTGGGGGAGCTCACAACTATCCTATACACACCAACAATCCAAGAATCCGAGGGGATGCACTAGACTCACTTGCTGAACGGGATGGCCACAAAAAGTCCGGGCGATGAGTTTGCCACATGGTACTCCCCGAGAAAAGATATCGTGCAGGAAGTCGGGGGAGTGAGCAAAAGAGCATTCCAAGAGGGGTTGCGAGGCATGTGAAATCTAAGCTTGGTGCTGAGTGAGAGCAAGCAATTCGTTTGCTCCTTGCATTAACATGTAAACAATCTCGGAGCGTGCCTGCCCTAGAGTACGTTTATGTCTCAATACGTACATGAACCTTTGGTTAGACCCTTTTGGACATCAGAAAACATGAAGTTTGAGTCAAAATCTATCCCGGCAAGGCAAGCCTCCGACTACAAAGGGCTTTGATTTGGATGTCCCTATTGGGCCAACCAAATATGGGCCATATTTCGGAGTCACTTTGACCCTGTTTAAAACTGAAAATTCACAAGGGACCCTCCAGATTTGTGATGTCCCCATTCTTCCCATAGCCCTTGAATTGTAACTGTAGGCGCTTTCCAAACCCCTTCAAAACGCCCCCATCAGCGACGTTTCGGCCGCTGGGTTCGCCTTTTATGGGGTGGCCAATGCTGCGACCAGTTCAGGTGGAGGATAACCAACTGCCTGGGCCACTCACAGGGAGTTCCATGTAGCTCCTTTACATATCACCCCAGCAAAAGGAAACCCACTTTACAGTAAATTGCCCAACAGGCGACGTTTACCACCGCCATTTCAGGGCAAACACTTGGCCATGGGTCACAACCTATGCCGCCAAGTTGGGGCGGATGAACACCCATGTACCCATTTATTTTTCTGTTCACCAGGGGTACCATTGGTTTTGACAACCACAGCCATTTCAACAACCGCAGGCAGCGGCGCCAAAACGACCTCAGTCCCCTGCCTGAACCGCAGGGCGCCACCATCTTCAGGAGGTGATGACCTCGAGCGCTCTCTTCCGGTAAGGCTTACGACGCCCCCCAAAAAAAACAACGGGTCGAGATTTAACTTGGTTTTTTTCTCTGGTTTTATTTTGGGATTTTGTTCTTCGTCTTGGCTAGAAAAATGGCCCTCCAACAACAACGGTCCTTCTTTCCGGAAAAGCGCCAAACACATGAACCCACTGTGCGGCTTTGTCCTTCTTTCCAGAAAAGCGCACAAACATGACTGCGGTAATGGGAGATATCCAAAAAACGGGATGCATCTCAAAGGGCACGCCCCAAAATGCCGTCATCTTTTTCACCTAATCGTTCTTTTTGGGAACCGCCCTCCTTCCGCTGACGATTTGCCGGCAGGAGTTCCACATGTCAAGGAAATGAGAGGTTCACCTTGAAGGATGTTGATGCCTAGAACTAAGCAAAACAAAGGCCTCCTAAGCTCCAACTGGAGTTCCAACTTACACGCATCAACCGCCAACATCACTGCAACTGACGTGGATAACACGATCACAAATGAGTGATTCAAATGAAATGCAACAACCCACCACCCCTAACATGGTGGTTGTCTTTTTGGCTTCCCTAAAACCAACCCAGAAAGGGTCCCCTGACGTTACGAAGTACAGCCTGTTTGGATTGCCTGAAACCCTTCCCACACGTCGCTTGCAGGGACGCTGCCTACCCTACACAAATTGGTACACAACTCTGGCTTCCGTCACTGTCACATAGCCAACCTACGTGACATCCATGGTGATGATGTCTTTGCTGGGTGCAGAGCAATGGCATCGCTAGCCTTCAATTCGTCGCACAGCACGTGAATTCAGCATGTCAGCCAACCGTTTTGATCAAGGCCAGAAGTACTCCGATTGCCACGCCGACCTCGCTTTCCTCCGTTTGTTCACCATCGGGTTCATCAGAGTTTGCCTCCAGTTCGCTGAGTCTTTCGCTTTCCTCCAGAGAGGCATAGTTCGCAATCTATTCACACCGCTACCCCCAAACAGCCCCAGAACCGCCGACAACCCCAGAACCGGATGACAGCTTCCCCATACCCAAACGAGCCTGGGCAGAGACCCCATAGCTTTCAGCTGTTGGGGGAAAAATGTGCTTTTGGTGTCCCTTTGAAAACAGCCAACGAATGGTGCCCTCAGAAAAAGACACACCCATGTGTCCTTGTCTGCGGTTTGCCCAAACGACTACTTTATACAGGGTGGACTAAATTTGGAGGGTCTTTCATTTGACCGTGGCAAATTCTAACATAGAAACTCGTGGCCAAATCCAGTGCTATGGCTTTCCATGCCCTGGGCCTCGGACATCACCGCAAAAAAAAAAAGCGTCCAGAAAGCCGGTCAGCCGAAAACCACGTGGGAAAGCCTGTGCAAGTTGGCGTTTGTTGTGTTTTTCATGGTGGTTTCCCAGGACCCTCGACCCTCGACCCAAGCTTTGGATGACGGGCCCCAATTGCCAGCACGGAGAAAAAGAACAAGTCCAAGTTTAGAGATTCCAAAGCTGCGAAGGGAACCCGCCCCAAACCCTAAACCCCGAGCCCCAACCCCCTACAAAAAACAAGCTTAAACGCCCCCAACCCCCCACCTACCCACCCACCCACCCAAAAAAAACTTAAACCCAAAACCCTGACCCCAACTCTTCTTCCCCCCCCCCGTTGAGCTTCCACACCGCAGGAGCCCAAGGCATGACTGGCCTCCTGCTTCATAAATTGAAAGATGGGGGGGGGGGTGCTGTTGAGACAGACCCCATATGGGTATGGGTCAAAATGAAACCACTAGGGAACCGTAGGTGTCAGTCCTTGGTTCCATTTACCAGGGTTTCATTTTGGCTGCCTATTTTTGACACGCAGCCATCTGAGTTGTTCAATCAAAATAGCGGCTGGCGTTCTGGGCAAACCAAAAGGACACCAACTGGATTTGGATTATGGAGAAGCTAAAGGGAAACCGCAATCTTACGGCTTCCTCTGGAGACAAGAGATCCAAACCCAAGAAAGCCCCTGGATTCCTTTCTTGGCGCAATGGATTGGGGGGGTCCCTGTTGAGACAACCACTGTGGATGGAGAAAATCCACGCGCCAGTTGGCAGGTGGTGACAACTCCGTGGTGTTTTGATGGCTTCATCCATGCCAAGTGGTGCGAAACGGATTTCGTCCATTCGCGGTATGAGTGTTTCTCAAAATAGGGGTCCCCTTCTTGGATGGTATTTTGGGGAAACAAAACGGACACCAACCCCCTGAAGGGGTCAAAGAGGTCATTGCATCTCCGTCCTGCCAGTTTTCAGGGTCTTCCACACTCTTCTGGTTGTCCAAAAAGTTGATGAAATTTGAGCGGCTCGCAGTCTAAACCCAAAAGTAACTCAAGTCCAGGATCGGAAGAAAGCCAAAAAGCCCACCCTTCACCTACCTGACAAAGGACATTGGGAACATGGGGATCACTGGATTTTCCCACATCAAAGGTTGTTCAACTCACCAGTGGTTTCCATTGAAACGATCGCCACGTTTGGAGGCTCCAAAAAGGGAAATGGAGGAAACCCTGGAAAAGCACAGGAGTTGTTCCACCCAGTTGAATCTGGGTCTTTGGAAAGTTTGGGGAGGGTCGTTTCCCCGCGGGAAGAAACAAACAACTCATTTGCTTCGGCTGATTTCTGCCAAACATGGAACGCCTGGGTTGAAGTCATTCTTGGCTTCGGGTTCATGACCAGTTTCCTTCAAACCCACCCAATAAATTGAAAAACCGGACCACCTTCAGCGAATGGACACCGCGTCGCAAGCCCCAACTTCCAAACCAAAATCCGGCTCCTTTGTGGCTTTCGAGAAACCCCAAATGGCTGTGGGTCAACACCAATGGTACCATTTTGGGGTAGGTGCACCACCCATTTTGCTCTATTTCAGTGGGGATTGGGATGTTCACTGGGGGTACCCACGGCCAAATCGGTTCCAAAAACCGGCCGTACGCCTTCAAGAGAAGAATCCCCGAACAGCACCCCGACGGACCCCTGATCCCTTCCGGTTCCGGGGAGAGGGGGGCTCAGAGCCGTTTGTACCAAAACAATTCAGCACCTGGTGGGTGGTCAAAGCCAAAAGCACCCCAGATAAGGCTCCCCGAAGAACAAAGACGGTTTGCAAACCGGAAAGAAACAAGAAGAACTTCTCAAGGTGCATGGAACAGGCAAAGCGCAAGTCCAAAGGGCTGAACGCAAAGCCCGTGGCGCGTGGCCCGCGCGGCTTCCCTCTTTTTCTTCCCCGCAGCTTTGGCGGTCGCTGGCTCCTGGGCAGGGTGCTCTTTCTTTTTTGCGGGCGGTTTTCCAGGGGAACCATCCACAGGAAACCGCCCGCTGCCGGGGAGATGAGACGACCTTCTTGCGCCACGTCCGGGGTCAAGGGACATCTTCAGCCCGGCCTCCTGTGGCCTGGGGCCTTTAGGAGTCTCTTGTTCTAACGGCCAAGGTTCAAGGGCTTGAGGGTCTGAGAGTCTGAGGGTTTGAGGGTCCGAGGGTCTGAGGGTTTGAGGGTCTGAGGGATTGTTGTTTTTGTTTTTGCTTATGAACAAGTTGACCTTTCAGTACCCTAAACATCAGAAAGGACCCTTTGGAGCCTTCGGGATCTGCATCAGGGCTTGTCAAAAAAGGCCCTGGAGGCATCGTAAGATGTAGTTGATGTTCAAGGGACGCTTATCCCAAACAGAGGCCCTCTGGCCATTGAAACGTTAAAAAAAACAGACCTCCGGCATCGAAGAAAAGTTCAACATGGATGCAACCCAAGAGGGGATGCAACCCAAGAGGGGATGCAACCCAAAAGGAGATGTTTTTGCTGTCACGGACGGAAAGGCTGTGGTGCCACGTCAATCTGGGGGCACCAAACAGACATCACCTCCGGGTTCTGAGCCAGTTGCACATCCCCTTGAGATTGTTGTTTGTATTTGTGTTTTTGTATTTTTCCAGTGCGGACAGTTGAAGAGCTGACGAAATAAAGAAGGGCTGGCATCACAGAACCCACCCTGCAACAGTCAACCACCCCTTCCCCCCAGTACAGAAAGTGAGAAAAGACAATGTTCAACCAGCTGCAAGTGGGGGGTGTTTCGCCTTGTGAACCAAATCCGCTCTAAAAGCGGATTAAGCCGCCCTATGAGTCAAGGGCCTTGTTGATCAAGGGTTAAATCAAAACCCTTGGCCCCTAAAGCTTGTCGGGACTTTTTGGAAGACATCATTTACATGACGATTTCTGTCCGCCAATCCTGTTGGAGGGTGTTCCGCTTGAAAATGCAAGCCATAAATGCCCTGACTATAACTTGCTGGCTTTATGCGCCAAAAGTGTGACTTCTTGGGGGGTGCGGGGGGGGAATGAGGCAATACACGTGTCCTTTCGAAAAGTTTAACGAAAGATCCACCCAAATAGCACCTAAGACAGCGACACCCCTACCCAACTCGCGCACTGGGGTCAAGTGCGAACGGAGAGCTCCCAATCGATTGATTGGATCGGGGTTCCGTGTCGGAAACCGATCAACTCACCCATTGAAAGGCATCCTTGGGTAGAAATCTCCGTTGGCCTTGCGAACAAGTCGTTGCCTGGGCTGTCCTCAGATGCCCTGCTGAAAGTTTAGCTTGTGGGTTACATGGAAAACCTCACTAAACCCCACTAAACCCTAAAAGGCGAAACGTGTCTTGCGCCAGGCCCCCAGACTAGGCCCCGATGACTCGGTCTAGTCTATGGTCTGCGGCCTGAGAGCTCGCTTCCAGTCGCTGGGTCCCTTTTAGACTTCCGGAAACCAGACGCCGGCCATACCGTGGATGCACGAAATCCATTTCGCACCACCCAAAAAAATCCCTGGAAGGATGATTCCCGTGTAAATACCAACGAACAATGGTTTCCCATGACTTCAAAGTGGTGCGAAATGGATTTCGTCCATCCACAGTAGGTGTCCTTTTCGGGGGGCGAATAGATGGGTTTCCCTGGTAGATGATTCAACCAGGTAAACCAGGAATCGAAGACCATCTATTCTTCGAGCAAAACAACCAAAAAGGACGCCTATGGAAGCCGGCCATAGCTTTTTGGGGGGGTCGGTTGATTTCTATGTCTGGGTCCCGAACTTGGGCCAAAGGCCTGAGGTTTGAACTGCCTTCGGCCACCTTGGCTTCCGTTGGAAGGTGACCTGGCCAAAATTTCATCTCAGGTCCCAAGGTGTAACAAACTAATCTACGGACGGGATGGATTTACATCCCATAGTTCAACAGTCCAGCTGAAATAGTCGTCCAAAGCCCGCCAGCCAAGCTTTTAGATGGAACCCACTCAGGTGGTTCCCTACATTCTCCGAGCATCAACTCTAGGGAAACTCACCTGAAATGGACGAACACGTGTTGAAACAAAACACCAACAGAGGAACAAAAAAAACAGTTTCTCGAAATGGGTGGGCCCTTCTTTGGATGGTTTCACAGGGACACCACCCGGAGTCGTGGGGTATACGTAAGGGGCCACGAGAGATATTGACCGGAACGCATGTGACAGTGTGGTGCCAGCGCACAGATTCGGATGGTCAATTCCTGCCTAGTGCACCTCTCGGGTTGTGAAGCCCCAGGATCTATCCGTGTTTTAACCAGCATCTGGGTGGCATGCCTGCACACACACACACACGAAGCTTCAGGAAAAGACCTTAAAAACACATGTGATGGCCTTGCAAAGGGTCGTGTTCATGTCAACTTCGGCTTTTGACAAGGACATCAAGGACCATTCCAAAGGCAATGGATGCACAACTGGGCGCATGAGCCACGGACAACTTGGCTTGTGCCCAAAGAATGTTTTTTGTTTTTGCGGTTTCAGTGAGGAAATTGGGTGGATTCTCTCATTCTCTTTCAATTCATTGTGTTGTCAATTGCTCACACAAGTCCGCCCCACCTCTTCGAGTTGCATTCCGAAGAGGTCCCTTAAGACTGAGCTCTCCAATCATCCCATTTCCAAATGCCATGCTTCCGCAGCCTATATCGGAGCATCTCAAAAAGAAAAAAACACGGTGCTGAACTGCTCCTTTGTAGCAAGGGGTCAACCAAAAACGGCCGTGGCTTCCTCTTGGCCGGCCCAAAAAGAAACGACCGAACAATTCGGGTGAATCCTCCCCCCCCTCAAAAAAAACTCCAAGGCACACACACGCACCAATGGTTTCTCCATGCAGACCCATGGCTTCTCCACTGGTTACCAAGGGAAATCCATTTCGGACTGGTCCCAAGTCCTTCGGCACCCGCCCCTCGCTCGAGGCCCCCGGCTCCACGGCCGTCGCTCGGAGCGGCGCCGTCACGAAGCCCTGCGCCAGGCCCCTGCGGCGCCGAGCGCGAGCCGCTCGAGCCGCGGCGAGACTTTGGTGGGGCAAACGACCCGTCAGATCCTGCAGATCTCAAGCGCTTTTGGGGTCTTACCTGCTTTCCCTTCCCTTGTTTTTCCTTCCCTTCCCTTTTCTTCCTTTCTTTATTTCCTGATTTATCTGTTTCTTTCCTTCTGTCGTTCTGTCGTTCTGTCGTTCTGTCGTTCTGTCGTTCTGTCGTTCTGTCGTTCTGTCGTTCTGTCGTTCTGTCGTTCTGTCGTTCTGTCGTTCTGTCTGTCTCATATATGTCTTTATGTATTTCTGCTGTTCTCTGTTTGTACATTTATTGGTTTATCTCTTTTGTTTGTTCTTTACTTGTGGTTTATGTATTTCTGCCTTTCTTGTTTTCTTTCCGTCTGCCTCTGCCTTTCTTCTATTTTGCTGTTGCTCTTTCATTCTTTGTTTTGCTCTTTCCGTCTTTCTTTCGTTGCTTCTTTCGTTTGTTCGCTATTTCATTCTACATACTTATTTGTTGAGTTCGACCTTTATTTCTGTCGTTGTGTATTTGATCGTTCGCTATCTTTCTTTCGTTAGTTCTTTGTTTATGTGTGTCTTGCTTGCGTTCTTTCTTTCTTGCTTGTGTTTATTTGTTTGCTTCTTGGTTTGTTTCTTGATTTATTCTTTTCTTGCTTTCATTTGTTCGCTCTTCTGTTGTTCCGTGTTTCTTCCTAGTTTCCTTCATGTTTCTCTCTTTCGTTATTTCTACATGTCTGTCTTTGTTATTTCATTTCTTGTTACTTTCGTTGTGTATTTATCTCTGTTCATAGTTATTGCATTCCGTTGTTGTTTCCCAACAAATCAGTTGACACAGCACGGCATTTGGCTTCTTGTTTTGGGAAAATGCTCACTTGACCCCCAGATAACAGGTGAACGGTTTGGAACCAAAGGCCTATGGACCAAATCGGGGAAACCAGAAGGTCCTTTCAGATCCATTCGCTTTGGCCAAGTGAGACTTAAACCCCCCGCAAAAAGTCAAGAAAATGATGGAACACCAAAACTCAGAAACTCAAGGGGCCCAGACATAAAAGGTGATCACCTTTTGACGCCACTGAAAATGGAGCCATAGGGTTTGGAGCCATAGCGTTTCCAAAAGGCCAAGTCTCAAGTCGATTCGCTTTGGGCGAAGTCAGCCGCGGCGGAAAGTCACAAGTCTGCAGAAAAGCAACAACCAACCGACCGACCGACCGACCCACCAACCAACACCCACCAACCCACCCACCCACCCACCCACCCACCCACCCACCCACCAACCAACCAACCAACCAACCAACAACAACAGGGTTAGGGTTTTGGTTTTGGTTTTACGGGTAAGGTTTTGCTTAGGAGTTTCTCCTTTGGAGCCAGCGAAGAGTTCGAAGTCTAAGGCAAGCTAGGTCCTCCAGTAGAGAGGTTAGAATAAGGGTACCCTTTTTCTGTAGTCTATTTCAGCAGGGGTTTCCCCTCCCAACCAAAACAGGGGTGAGAGAAAGGGCACCAATTGCTGGGGGACCTGCCATGAGACGGGGTTTTTCGTCGCCATAAAATTCGCCCCGAAGACTCCGCCGGGGCCTCGCGGAGCAAAGCTGGCGCTCGTGGGAGTGGCACAGCCGATGCTCGGAGCAGGGCCTGCGGCCGAAATCGGAGACCGAGGTGAGAGCTGCGAGAACCTGGAGCCCGACTTCTCCCCGTGGTTGCTTTTTTTTGCACATTTAACCCCAACAAACCAGGGTGTAAATCAAAAAACGAATATGTTGCGTTGTTTGGCGTGTTTCACACCAAAACCAGGGGTTTGGAAAATTCCCGGAATATCTCAAGTAGGGGAACCTGCGGAACCACGGTAATGTGCTGAATTTACAGGGGTTTGTGGTTGGTTGTTCGTGGGTCGACTTGCAATTTTGCGGGCATCCAAGGTGTATGTTGAGGGTAGCCTTTTTTTTGCCTCGGTTTAAAAAGACACCAAGAGGAAACCACCGTTTTTTTTGGTGGCGGGGGTTGAAACCCTCTCATATCCCCTCCCAACTCTTGAACTCTTCTGGACCAGCCGCTTCCGGCACACACCTATCACTCACCAGGCACCTTAGACCGCTGGACCGTCTCTCCGTTCCCCATTTCTCGGGTCTGCGTTCCGGTGTCGAGCCCTACGAAGGCCAAGCCATTTTGACACATCGCGGGGGGTTCCCCCCAGATGGGTGTGGCTCCTGTTCTGGGAGGTTCCCTTGTGTTGGCGGCTTTAAGGGAAAACCACAAGGACATCCCCTTTTTCTTTGGGGGGGGGAGGGGGGGGGAGGGGGAAGTGCCCCCCCCCGCCAAAGAAAGACATCTGCTTCGACTTACCATAGCTTTGGGGCTGCATGTGGCTAGTTCACTTGCAACACACAGGGACCCGGGCATCCACCGCAACACGGGTGCACCACCTGCGCCGAGAATTCGTTTGGCACACGCCAAAGAAGACGCCGGCCTAAGAGAGCATTGGCCGCCCTTCCATGTTCTCGCCTGCGGGGCGCCGAGCAACCCGGCATGCTCTGGTGATCTGTTCTGTTGTTTGCTCTTTCGTTCGTTTTGTCGTACATCCTGCACCACTTTGAAACCATGCGAACCATTGCTTGTTGGTGTTTACAGAGGAATTATCATTCCAGCGTTTCATGGGTGGTGCAGGATTTCGTCCATCCACAGTATGTTCTTTCTTTCCTTTTCTTTCCATGCGTACTTTGCTTCTCCTTATCTTTCCGGGCCTTGTGTCGTGCCAATGTCGGGGTTTGTGAAAACGGCTACTTACAAGAATATGGGTAACTCAAGCAGAGGTTGATGGGTGAGCAAGTTTGCTTGGTGGACCACGTGCTGCGTGATCGCTGGGGACACAGTCTCGCTCAAGGCGACAGTTGAACAATGCTGCCGGGCGTTCACTCCCAAAACGTCCCTCGACCAAAATCATAGTGGCCGACAAAGCAAAAAGTGGCTCAACCAAGCCCTGTTGACAAAGCAAAAAGTGGCTAACCCCACAAACTCTGTTTGAAGTGTGGGTGGGTGGGCGAGCGGGCGGGTGGGCGGGCAGGTGGGTGGGTGGGTGTGTGGGTGTGTGTAATGTGTATGTGTATGTGTATATATATGTATATTATCTCTCTTCCATCAAGCAATTTCAGTCTGTCTACTTCGCTGCTGGTCACTTCCTGGCTGACTCTTGGTCACTTCTGCAAACCCTCCGCTTCTCAATCCTTTTCGGCAGAACTGCAAAGCCGGGTTCTGAGAGGTGAAGCTAGGTTTCAGCCAGAAACAAAGTTGAAAGCAAAGGCTAGGTCCTCCAGTAGAGAGGTTAGAATGAGGGTACCCTTGTTGCTGTGGCCTATTTTAGAAGGAAACCCTCCCCAAAAAAGTTGGTACAAGGGCACTTCTGGGGGACCTAGGAGGGTGCGGTAGAGGTAGCGTCACCCGAACGCGGAAACCAGGGTGCGTCACGTCGCCACGCCTGGCACCGCGAGGGGTCTGGCTTGATGGCGGCGGTCTCAGGCGGGAGTGAGCGGTCTGAGGGGTCAGGTGTGCTCGTCTTTCAAGCAGTTGGTATGGATGGCTGCTCGTTTGCCAAGCAACGAAACTGTGCTGGGAATCACCAACGCCTGGTGCGAAATGGGTTTTGTGCACCATATGCTGTTTTTTTGAGGTACTCATAATTAACCTCACCTGGAAAGTTGCAAGAGGACGGTCTTCCAAACTCCTTGTCCACCGCCATGATTTGATTGTTGGACCGAGGGTAAGTTCCAGCTTTGCACGGCTTTGGGTGGCTTGGGTCATGCTTGGCTCGGCCTTTTTGTTGCTGTCTTAGGTGGATGGCCATGTCCTTAAATGGTTTCTTTCTTGCCAGGTCCTCCAGTAGAGAGGTTAGAATAAGGGTGCCCTTTTTCTGTTGTCTATTTTAGTAAAAGAAACCCTCCCCCAAAAAAGTGTAAAAGGGCACTACTGGGGGACCTAGCTTGGGATGATCGACTGTCCCTCGGCTATGGCCCGGAATGAGGCCATGTGAGCCAGAATCAATTCCTTGAACTCAACTTCACAGAACCGTAGGCGGCAAAGGCACCCATTTATGGTTGGGACTATCCCTTAACCTGCATCCACCCGGTACCCGGTATTGATTGATTGTGGCTCATGTTGAAGTAGAGGTCCTGCCTGTGAGGAAACGATGGGAGCAACTTCAGCTTCCCACTAGTTTGGTGAGCCCAGCGGTTTAGTGGCGAATGGGAGTGGCTTCCCATGTTCCCCCGAAGTAAATAACTAACTAAAAAACTAACTAACTGACTAACTAACTGACTAACTAACTGACTAACAGACTAACTAACTAAATACATAAATGACTACCATCAAACAAGCAAACTAAGTAGCTCGCTCGCTAGGTAAGTAAGTAAGCAGCAAGCAGGCAAGCAGGCAAGCAGGCAAGCAAGCAGGCAGGCAGGCAGGCAGGCAGGCAAGCAGGCAGGCAAGCAGGCAGGCACCGATTAGCAAACCAACCAACCAACCAACCAACCAACCAACCAACCAACCAACCAGCCAGCCAGCCAGCCAGCCAGCCAGCCAACCAGCCAACCCAGCTAGCTGACTAACAACGTAACCCAAGAAAATAACTACCTGACTAACTAACTAAATCCACCAAACCAACTCTAACTAATTGGGTACCTAACTAACTAGCTAGCTGACTAACTAACTAGCTGAACAACTAACTAGCTAGCCAACCAGCTGACCAACTAACTTTCTAGCTAAACAGCCAGCAAGCATGCGTTAGAACAAGCTTAACTAAATTACCTAACGCAACTACCTAGCTAACTAGCTGAACTAGGTGAACTAACTACCCAACTAGCTAACTAACTAGCTAGCTAACTAACTAACTAACTAACTAAAGAACTAACTAACTACCTAACTAACTAACTAACTAACTAACTAACTAAACAAAACCAAGCCAAACTAAACTAAACTACACTAAACTGACTAAGGACCTAGCTAATTAACTGACTGAATAACTAAACTAAACTAAACTGTATATCAACCCCAGAGTGGCACTTGGCTTCCATTCTCCGGGTGCCTCCTGCTCCTTTCGCAGCTCCTGCAAAGGCGCCTTCTTGACCTGCTCCTGAGGAGTCGCCAAAAGACAACACGTGTTTAACTTGCAAAAGGCCCCGGTTGTTTTGGTTGTAAAGGAAACCCAACCCCCCCATTTTCATTTTGGCGGTTCCCCCCTAGCAAACGCAGGCAAGCGCAGGGAATCAGGGAACGCCCCCCCCAAATGCGGAAGGTTGTTGCCTCAAGCGAAAAGGAGAACCCGTGAGGTGCCGGAAATTCACAGGCCAAATGACCGCCGAGCATTCTGGACATGGGCGGCTCGTCATGATGTGTGGGCCCCTGAAATGGGTTTGGCTTTTCCCTTGGGTGTTCCTTTAGAAACACCAACCAAAAATTTGGGGTACCAACTCCAAGTTAATAGACAGTCGAACAGATTCTCTCCTTTCCGCCTGTGGAAAAAAAACAGTTTTTGCCGGCCGCTCATCCTGAGATTCATCCTCTCCTCGGGAGGACTCGCGGTGTCCTCGTCAAGCATGGCGGCGATCAGGCCCTGCGCGGCCTCGAGCTTCGAAGGGCCTCAAGCCCTTGGCGCCTTGGGGAAGCCTCAAGCCCTTCGCACCTTTTCTTTTGGTGGGAGGGGGCGCCAAACTCGCCACAAGAGGAGGGTTCCCTGTACAGATGCATGTGCGTCGACCACCCGTCCCTTGCATAAATTTCAACCACAAAGCCGCTTTCCCCAAGTCAACCAACTCACCTCGACCAGGGGCGTCCGACATAAACGCTCAGAGTCTCGATTGGGCGAAATCCGGCTCCCAGGTTCTCATATTTCGCAAAGCGGAACAACACGTTTTTGGCGTCTCCGGCCTTGCAAAAACGGGTGCTTGACTATGCGTGCACATCGGGCCGGCTTCAGGCAGTCAATCTAGCGGGCCTGAGCCTCTTTGAGAAAAACATGCATCCGCGCCTTTGAAGGATGCGACAAGTTGCTCACCACTGGACCCCACTCAAGTCCAGAAGGCACAAGTGCGCAACCAACAAAAGAGGGTCAATTCAATTCCCGCAGCACTGCAGGATTTGACAAACAAGCAACGGCGCGAGCTGCTAATGGAATCAGCCCGGCTCGTTCCTGAGTGCACCCAAGACAGATATCCCCAAATCCCCACCTCTCGCTTCCGCTTTCTTTCCAGCTCCATCGCTTCAGCTTGTTGCCTTGGCTGAGGCTTGTGTCCACTTGGAGCAGCAACAGCTTGTTCATCTGCTTGACGAAAATGTTGACCCCGGATTAATTAATATACCCCTCCCTCCTATCAATAAGGGGGGTGGTTCCTCTAGGGACAACCCCTATTCATCAATCCGGACCGGGGTCAACATGACCTGCCAGTCGTGGCTGCTTCAGTGGCGGGGTTGCCCTCATGCAGCCAGCGCGCGTGAGCACAGTTTCCAAGCAGACCGAGACTGGTTTGCTTGCGCCATTGAGCTTTGTGGATGGACGAAATCCTGCATACTTGGGGTGATTTAGTTCTTTTAGGTGGTGCAGGATTTTGTCCATCCACAGTAGGACCACCTGTGGGGGAAACCACGAAAAAAAGACCATATTCCCGACTAAATTGGGAAAGTGACCCATGCACGCTCAGTCAGAAAGCCAGAATATCATTCATCGCTCTAAGTGAGTGACTTGGCGATCTCCAGGTCCTTCTTTGCTTGCTCCTCCCTCTCGCGCTCGCGTCGCTCTTTCTCCTGCGGAACGCCGTCCAGGCTCTTGAAACGAGAAAACGAGACCCCTTGGACTCGCTTAGGAGACGGACGGTTTGGGCATGGCTCCGACCAATTCGAGGCAAACGCGAGTGTGACCGAAGGTTGCTAGTTCAACACATTCCAACTGTCACCAAGGTGCATTGCAGGTGCAAACACATGCAAACACACACGGCGGCTCGCAAACCACATCTCTTGTGCACAAGACTCAAGAAGTCAACAGATTGGCCGGGCCAACAACTTACAGACGTAAAGAAGTGCAACGTGAGGGCGTGTCTTTCTTTAGATGACCCTTTTTGTTGGTGTTTTGAAGGGAAGCCAAACGGACGACCCCAACATTTAGAGGCCCCTTTTGCTTGTTTTAAAGGGAAGCCAAAACTAAGCCCCACCATGTTTGGTGCGTTTTAAGGGAAACCACCAGGAGAACACCCACCCTTTTGCAGGGTGCCCAATCCAAAAGGGACGCGCCACTCACTCAGCCAGCGCTTCCTGAGCCGCCTCCGCTTCCTTCGCCGGCTTCGAAGCATCCGCATCTTCCGCCTTGGCCTCGGCGCATTCGCGCAGACGCGCCCAACGAGGCCCCGGCGGTGCTGGGACCTGGCAAAATGTTCTCTTACGGATAGGTGTGAAATCCAGAAATCGCACGAAGTGAAACCATGGGAATTGAAACCATGGCTTGTTACCGGTAGTTACGCGGGAATCATACTGGGTTTCTGACCGGAGGTGTGAAATGGAGTTCGTCCATCCACAGTATCTCCATTTGAGAGGGCAAATTTGTCGAAACAGTTCATGAATAACTGTGTTTGGATCAAACATGTCATGAACAACTTGTTCTGCACCTCTTGGTTGCTGCTCATCTTGCTGGGGCGATGGGCAGGGAATGACCTCGCTGGGTGCTGTGAACCTTGGGCTTCCCTTAAAGGAAACCACAAGAGATGGTTTGTAGGGGGCATTGCTTTTCTCATTCCCTGCCTATCGAACCAGCAAGTCATGCGAACCAAAGGGGCGTCTCTTCGCTTCCATTTGCTTAAGTCTCCTGGAAAAGAATAGAACATGTTGAGAAAATATGTCCAGTAGTGATAGATTCCGATTGAAACCAACAATAATAATAATAATAATAATAATAATAATAATAATAATAATAATAATAATAATAATAATAATAATTGTTTAAATATGTATGTGTATATATCCTTCAGCCAACGGAAGATGAGTCCACACCAAACCCAAAGCATCCAGAGCACCCCAATGCTTTGGGCTTTCGAAGTGGAAGCGACGTTTCATGCCGGGCGTCCAAAAGGTGCTGCTTCAGCCGCTGGTGCAGTTCCGGCGGCAGCTTCGCCAGCTGCTGCCTCCGCTCCTTACGGAGCGGGAAAGGGACACATCCTCAGATGGGTGTGGGTCAAGAATAGGTACCCGAAATGGCTTGCTAAAAGGAACCAAGGTCTAAAACCTGCGGTCCATATCCTGGTGGGTTAATTTGGACCCGTACCCAAATCGGGGGGTGTCTTTTTTGGGGGGCTCGAAACCGCTGCCGATGAGGCAAACGGAGGGATGGAATTTCTGGGGTCTCCTCCAAAAGTTCGGCTTCTTGAAGTTGCCCCCCCCACCGGTTGACGTTCGGGGGTGCAAAAGGAAAATGGTCCCAACCAGGACTTTCCGAACGTCAGGCGCCATGCGAATTGATGGGAGGGTACCCCTTTTTCTGGCGGCTTTACAGCGCCAAGAGGGCTGAACCTCCATTTCGGGGGCCCAGCGGAGCTCTGGAAACTGCGGACAAGATCCGCCTGACGTTGGTTGGTAACAGGGGAATCATCAGACACCAGCGGTTTCTGAACGGTGCGAAATGGAGTTGGAAGCCATCCACAGGGGCAAGTCTTGGGAACTCAAAATCTTCGCTTCGAAGAGCTACGAGCTTGAATTTCGAGGGCGGCCTCATTTCTGTAGCTTACGCTTCTTTCCCCGACTTTTGTCTTCCGCTTTTTGGCGTCCAAGACTCTTTTGTGGCCTTTCAATGGCGTACGTTGCTCTTGCGCCTTTATGATTCTGCACCGAATTTGTGTTGTGCCCCGTTGTTGAAAGGGTTCTAACATACTCTGGATGGTTGCAAAATCCAGTTCGCACCACTGTTCCGAAATCTTGGTGTCTGATCGGATTCCCCTGTTTTCTACCAACAAACCATGCATGGTTTCAATTCCATAGTTTCAAAGTGGTGCGAAATGGAGTTCGTCCATCCACAGTAGGTCCCATGGATACTACACACATGATTGTCCGTTTGCGCCTTGCTTCATGGCACCCGCTTCATAGAACACGCATGTTGCGCCCCCTGAAATCGGTAACCCCTTGCAAAGAGACCATAAAATAGCTGGTTGCGGGCTATCGGTAACTTTGACTGGCACGCAGTGACCCTGGCCACCTTCACCAGGGATTCGAAAGGTTCCTTAGCCAGCTTGGCGGTTCAAACCTTCATATTCCCACAGCAACGCGCCCTGATTTGGCTTGGTGGTTAGGCTTGTTGGGGGGTAGCTTCCCAGTTGCCCTCTGCAAGAACCAGGGGTTCCAATCCCAAACCACCCATCCAAGCCCCCAACTCGGGCGTATCTGATCCATCTTTGAGCCGCACACGTGACAAGTCGCGCAACAAAACCCGGGTGGCAGCTTGGGCCACACCACCCAACTCAGGGACCCTTCGTTGAAGGCACAGCCTTTGGGTGGATCATTGCAAGTCGCAAACCGAAAATCAGGGATCTTGTGGATCCCGAAGAAACCTTCCGCATTTGTGTTGCCCCAGATGTAGACCCATGGAACCATCTGCTAACCACCTGCAGGTCCCCATACTTCCCCTTCAAACATCGACTCTAGCAAGCAAAACTCCCCTTAAATGTGTCAAACAGGCCGAAAGGAGGAAATCTACAGTTTCCTCAAACTCCTTTTTTGCATGATTTCAAAAGGAAAACGCCCAGAAACAAACCATTTTTGGGGGGTCTCCGATTTCGAGGACCCCTGACCTACGAGAACCTAGTCGGTCACCGTTCGCTCCTCCTGTGCGAGGCCGCGGAGATGTCGTGCCAGCGCGGCCAGTTCATCGCCCTGAGGACACACCGGGGCCCGCCCCCGTTTCCTTGCTGGTGCAACAGCCAGTAGTTAATGAGAAATGGAATGACCCCTATAACCATCCCTTGCGGTTTCCTTTATCCCCAAACGGTTCATTCCACAGCAGGTTTCTGACGCTCCTCTTTTGGTACTGCTGATATCGCATTGATCACTCCCCCCCTTCCCCCTGAGCAAGTCCAAAAGGTGTTTGTTTGCAGCAACAACCTTCACTGACATAATCTGGAAGGCCTACTTTAGTATTGGGCAATACTACTTTTAAACTTTTTGAACTGTTGTTATTGGGAAGCGGTTCCCCCCTCCAAAGGAAAAGAATCAGCGAGCCCTGTTGGTGCTTGAGTGTTGTTGCGCAGCTGTTCCTGCCATTGCTGCTTTCTACTCCAAGGGAAATGTGTACCTCTGTTGGGTTGGGTTAAAGGGAAATTTCGAGTTTTGGGGCTTCCCCTATTTTGAGTACTTGAGTTCAATGTTGACCCCGGATCCATAAACCGCTGGTTGATTAATAGGATTCATAGGGGACGACCCCTGGCTGATGTTAATCGGGGGGTGTCCCCTTTGAGTGGGATTCCGGATCACTTTTGGTGACACCCACCTATTGGTAGGATGAGCTTATCTATCCGGGTTCCCAGAAAAAGCAACAGCGCACCCCTGAGAATCCCCAAAGCCTCTCAGGGGGGCTCGGATCGAACCATCTTAGTTCTGACCAACTTCGGTTTGAAGCTGACTGACAGCGAGGTTCCGATAAGCCAACCGGGGCTGTGCTTATGAAAACTCTTGAGGCCTGTGGGCGTCTCAAAGAGGAGCCTCAAAATCAGTGTGGGGTTCGGGGCTGGGGTTTGGGGGTGCGGGTTGGATGGAGGTTTGGGTGGTGGAGTTGGGTGGTGGATTTGGGGGCTAGGCTGGGGTTTGCGAGGGGGGTGGCTTGCTTGGCAGTTGCCCAAAATCTGCGTTTTCGCACAGCACCCCCGAGAGCTCGCCTATTTCCTGGCCTCCGAGTGACCACAGCACGACTTCACTTCGAAGGTGGCTCCCTTGCTATCACCGAGATGCGACCTAAAACCCAACTTTTCATATACAACCAGCGGCTTTCTTGATCCTGGGTTCACCCGGCGCCTCGCTCGCCTCGCTCGCCTCATTTGCCTCGCTCGCCGGCACCGTCGGCTTCTGGGCAACCACGGGGACTGCCTGAAAGGTGGATCACCGTTCGTAGGTGTACCCTCCCACCGATTAACATGGAACCCGACACGGGTCCTTTTAAAAGGGAAATTGTCTTCCAGGACCACGAGTCAGGTTCCATGTTGGTTGGTGGCCGGGTAACGGAAAAGCCGGT